CTCAAGTTGGTCTCGGTCGAGAGTGCCAAGAGCCAGGTGGTCGCTGGCGTCAACTGGAGCATCACTCTGAAAGCCGCCGCCATTGCCCCTGTAGCTCGCCGCTTGAGACACCGCCGCGCCTCCCCACCCGCGACCAGCACCTACGTGGCGGAGGTTTTTCAGAGCCTGACGCCCGTGGTCGGAGAGCCAACGGTTGCAGCACAGCGGGCGGGCGCGGCGCAGCCTGTGGGCAATGGGCAGGCGGCGGTGGGCAATGGGCAGCCGGTGGTGAGAAATGAACGGCCTGTGGCGGATGTACAGCTGTCAGGTGTGAAGCCGGTGTTGGCAGATTATCTCGTGCTGGTCTCCTTTGCCAAGAAGAGTTGAGACTGCGGCGACCTTTTATGGGCTGCTTGCTTTCCCTTGGCAAGGAAACAGGGCAGTCTTGAAGCGAGGCGAGGTTGCACAACGAGCAATATCGGAAGCGAGAACCACGTTGTGCAACTTTACAGCTAGCTGCTGTTGTTTAGGTTTTGTCTAGGTTGAATAAGCAATGCTAGAATTGGGTACTGGGTGTGCTGGGGGAGGGTCGTTCTGGCGATTGCACTTGTGCTGCTCATGTGAGCATTTTCGTAAATGGGCTGTTGTGGTCTAATCTGGCTGGATGTTGTTTCCTTCTGTTCTTTGTGATGGTGTGAGGCAGGGTCTTTGATAGTTTTGGGGCCTGTCTGATGATCAGATGGTCAGAAAACAGTGTACCAATTTTCTTACCCTGCCACCAACAGAGTAAGGTACTGTAAGCTTTTTTCTTTAACCCTGATGAATTTGTAAGGCTAACGAATTATTTTACCTACCGGTAGGGTAGCCTTGGCTTGGCACCTGATTTCCCAGGGTGGCCAAAAACCAATTTTGGTTCCTGCTTCCATCCTCGAACCTATAGCTACCCCAGTTGTAACATCACATCAGACTACGCTCCTTTTCACCAATAAACCCTTTACAACAAGCTCTAGCTTTACTCGCTGCGAATCGATAAGCTCTTGCGTCATGCTTTTTATTTTATACAGGATAATACAGAGTAGAAAGTACAGTGTCGACCCTCTCCGCGCCTGACAAGTGCGCACTTCTCTAATTGCATTCCCACATTCCCTAGATGTTGGATTGCAGAGTCTATAACCCCTAATTCCGCAGCAGACTCTGCTGCCAGCAACAGCTGGCACACACGTGGCGCACTGCGATTGGCTGACCAGTGCGCTATAACAGATGCAGAACTTGGGGAGAGGGGCACCTGGGGTGAGGAAGGGTGAAGGAGTGGCGAGGATGGGAAGCGAGGTGAGGTGGCACTCTGGGATTGGCTGACCACTGTGCTGCCATAGATGCAGGGGCTGGGGAGAGAGACAAGTGAGGCTGAGAAAGGGCAAAGGTGTGGCGAAGACGGGCAGAGAGGTGAGGTGGAGTGGGTGGGGGAAGAAGTGGTGTGAGGAGGAGGGGAGGGGAAGTGAGGCTGGGTGTGAATAGAACATGTGCTTTGTGAATAGAACATGTGCTTTGTGAATACAACATGTGCTTTGTGAATACAACATGTGCTTTGTGAATAGAACATGTGCTTTGTGAATAGAACATGTGCTTTGTGAATAGAACATGTGCTTTGTGAATAGAACAGGAGAACAGAGCAAATAATCACTCGCTCACTAGCCAGGAGAACATCGATTGGAGGGGAGGAGAAGGGGGGTTGGATGAGAGCAGATCAGAAGTGACTCTTGAGTTGAGTCGAGTCGAGAAGAAAGAAAAACCTCTCTCACCGGGAGAACATCGATTGAGCTCTCTGAGAAATGTCCGAACATCGCGTATAACATCGATTGGGCCTTGCTCTTTCTCTGCTTCACTGTGCAGCCATGCGAGTGCTGAGGTGACCTTTGAGGCGCCTCAAGAAAAGCAAAGCACCACCCACCAGGGTATCACTCACCAGGAGAACATCGATTGTAGCATCTTCTACTTTCGCTGCTTCGCCCTGCAGCCATGCGAGCGTACGGTGAGAGATGGAGATGCCCTTGATCCGACGGCCCAGATCCTTCTTCCATGCACTGAACACTCCCACATCCACAACTGGTGCTACAGTGCCAGGGCCAGGTGATACAGAAGCACCAGCTGCTACAGTGTCAGGTTCTACAGTGCCAGGCGCTACAACGCCAGGTGTTACTGAGCCAGGTGCTACAGTGTCAGGTGATACATTGCCAGGTGCTACAGTGTCAGGTGCAAGCAACCTCCTTAGGTGCCTCAGGTGCCCAAGCAACCTCCTTTTCACTCCAGCACTGCCTCTTGTTTCATCCCCCTCCGGTGGCTGCTGGTTCGTTTGAAGCATGCTGCTGGCTTGACCTCCCTCCGCCACAACCACCACATGGCTGCACCCACAAAGAGAACAAACGAGACGAGCCGGCAGCTCATGAAACATTAGCACCGATTGAAGAAGCATCATTCTAATTGGAACAAGCAGCACCAATAGTGTGCTCTTGACTCGGCTACCCTCCGCCACAACCACCACCTTGCTGCAGACAGGAAGGAACAAAATAAACAAAATGCAGGCAGTATCGCGGTACCATCAATGGCAGCACTGCCTTCAACACCAACGTTTTAGGCAGCACCCATATTTACCAGCAAAGCTGTGGAAAGCACTGGCTATAACAGCACAGCACCCATTAAGATGTAACACAAGCAGTGGCATTCGAAGCACCATCGCTGTACCGTTCACGTCAGCACAGGCTTTAAATACCAATCTTTAGGCAGCACCCATCTTTACTAACAGCGCTTTAGGCAGCGGCAGCACTGTCAAGTGCAGCAAAGATTACGATGCAACGTTTACAGCAACTAGTTGCGCAACTGCGGAATGCGATGGGCTGCCATACAACCGTATCCACATTAAAATGGGGGGAAGGGAATGAGCAACGTTTTCGGCAGCACTGGCAATGACACCAACCCACCTTGGCACCAACCCACCTTGGCACCAACCCACCTTGGCACCAAACCACCTTGGCACCAACCCACCTTGGCACCAACCCACCTTGGCACCAACCCACCTTGGCACCAACCCATCTTGGCTCCAACCCACCTTGGCACCAACCCACCTTGGCACCAACCCACCTTGGCTCCAACCCACCTTGGCACCAACCCACCTTGGCACCAACCCACCTTGGCACCAACCCACCTTGGCACCAACCCACCTTGGCTCCAACCCACCTTGGCACCAACCCACCTTGGCACCAACCCACCTTGGCTCCAACCCACCTTGGCACCAACCCACCTTGGCACCAACCCACCTTGGCACCAACCCACCTTGGCTCCAACCCACCTTGGCACCAACCCACCTTGGCACCAACCCACCTTGGCACCAACCCACCTTGGCTCCAACCCACCTTGGCACCAACCCACCTTGGCACCAACCCACCTTGGCACCAACCCACCTTGGCACCAACCCACCTTGGCTCCAACCCACCTTGGCACCAACCCACCTTGGCTCCAACCCACCTTGGCACCAACCCACCTTGGCACCAACCCACCTTGGCACCAACCCACCTTGGCACCAACCCACCTTGGCACCAACCCACATTGGCACCAACCCACCTTGGCACCAACCCACCTTGGCTCCAACCCACCTTGGCACCAACCCACCTTGGCACCAACCCACCTTGGCACCAACCCACCTTGGCACCAAACCACCTTGGCACCAACCCACCTTGGCACCAACCCACCTTGGTACCAACCCACCTTGGCACCAACCCACCTTGGCACCAACCCACCTTGGCTCCAACCCACCTTGGCACCAACCCACCTTGGCACCAACCCACCTTGGCACCAACCCACCTTGGCACCAACCCACCTTGGCACCAACACACCTTGGCTCCAACCCACCTTGGCACCAACCCACCTTGGCACCAACCCACCTTGGCACCAACCCACCTTGGCTCCAACCCACCTTGGCACCAACCCACCTTGGCACCAACCCACCTTGGCACCAACCCACCTTGGCACCAACCCACCTTGGCACCAACCCACCTTGGCACCAACCCACCTTGGCACCAACCCACCTTGGCACCAACCCACCTTGGCACCAACCCACCTTGGCACCAACCCACCTTGGCACCAACCCACCTTGGCTCCAACACACCTTGGCACCAACCCACCTTGGCACCAACCCACCTTGGCACCAACCCACCTTGGCTCCAACCCACCTTGGCACCAACCCACCTTGGCACCAACCCACCTTGGCTCCAACCCACCTTGGCACCAACCCACCTTGGCACCAACCCACCTTGGCACCAACCCACCTTGGCTCCAACCCACCTTGGCACTAGGGATGAGCAAGTGGCGAACACGAACGTGTTCGTGTTCGCCCCTACACGAACACTTTCGTTTGCCGAACCGAACACTGTTCGGTTTGGCGAACACTTTGAGCAAAAAATGGTGTTCGCCGTTCGCCTGTGAAGGCGTGTTCGGGCGAAACTCGAACAGTGTTCGTGTTCGTCGCGGGCAAATTGCAGCAGCGGCCCGAACACGAACGTGTTCGGGCGAACATCGAACACTGTTCGGCGAACATTTTAGGGGGAAAAAAAAAACCTGTTCGGTTCGCCTCGAACACGTTCGAGGCGAACCGAACAGGTGTTCGTTTTTTTGCTCAGCCCTACTTGGCACCAACCCACCTTGGCTCCAACCCACCTTGGCACCAACCCACCTTGGCTCCAACCCACCTTGGCACCAACCCACCTTGGCACCAACCCACCTTGGCACCAACTCACCTTGGCTCCAACCCACCTTGGCACCAACCCACCTTGGCTCCAACCCACCTTGGCACCAACCCACCTTGGCACCAACCCACCTTGGGCACTGGCTTGGGCACTAGCTGGCGCCTCCCATCAAACTTGAAGAAACGCGGAAAGCATTAGTTGCCACCAACCTTGTGGCATAGAGCAGGGAGAGAAAGGTGACGAATCTCCCGTCTCCCCGCGCCCACCCCCCCCCCCCCCCCCCCTTCACCCACAAAACTGCTGCGCTTGCAAGCATAGCAACAATGACTTTGAGCAGCACGAGGTACCAACCTTGATGCAGAGAGCAGGGAGAGAAACGTGGCAAATCTCCCGTCTCCCCGCGGCCCTCCCCCCACCCATGCGCTGGGTCCCATGCGGGCTCGCACGCACACTGCTCGGGGTGATGGCGCATCCCAGGAGATGGTGAGGGCGTGGAACTGAGAGAGAGGGGAGAGAAAGGAAAGGCGGAGCGGGAATGCAATGAGGGAGGGACGCAAGGAGCTCGCACGCACACTGCTCGGGATGATAGCGCATCCCAGGAGATGGTGAGGGCGTGGAACTGGGATGAGGGGAGCGGGGAGGGATGGGAGGGGATGTGGGAAGCACACACTAGCTCATATGTAGACTGCTCACGATGATGGCTTTGGCGCATCCCATCCCAGGATACGTTGATGGCACGAAACTGGGAAGGTGGGATGGGAAGCAGACGCGAGCTTGCGCGCAAGTGGGTCGCGAGGAGATGAGAATGCTCATGGACATCGTGAAGCATGAAGGGAGCTTGGAAGCACACAGTGAGGGCACGGAACTGTGGAGGTGAATTTGAAGGTGGGTGGAGAAGGATGAGAGGAGGGTAGCGAGTGGAGGGGTGGACGTGGATGAGAACTTGAAGTGACCGAGTCGACTCAAAAGTCACCGAGTGGAGGGGCGGGCGTGGCGTGGATGAGAATCTGAATTTAGAGGCGCCTAAATTTTGTTGAGACGGTTTTGAGGCGCCTCGAAAATTGAATTAGGTGGATAAGCATTCAATTTCGAAAAAAGCAAACTCCCACCACTCTAACCTCCTCCCACTCTAACCTCCTCCTACTCACCTCCTCCCACTCTCACCTCCTCCCAACCTCACCTCCTCCCACTCTCACCTCCTCCCACTCTCACCTCCTCCCACCCTCACCTCCTCCCATCCTCACCTCTTCCCACGCCAGCACACACTCTTCAATGCTCCCCATCGTCTTCCGCACCACCTGCCTTCGCCCCTCCGCCATCTCCTTCACCACATCAAACCCCCCCTCCCACCCCTCCTTTTGTTCCACTTCGACAGCTCCCACATCAAACCCCCCCCCCCACCCCTCCTTCCACCCCTCTTCCCACTCTCACCTCATGTCAATCTCGCCTTTTCTCACTCGCCTCGTCTCAATCTCACCTCTTCCCACGCCAGCACACACTCTTCAATGCTCCCCATTGCCTCCCGCACCACCTGCCTCCGCCCCTCCGCCATCTCTCCCCCCATCACCACATCAAACCCCCCCTCCCACCCCTCTTTCCACCCCTCTTCCCACTCTCACCTCATGTCAATCTCACCTTTTCTCACTCGCCTCGTCTCAATCTCAAATTTTCTCACTCGCCTCGTCTCAATCTCACCTTTTCTCACTCGCCTCGTCTCAATCTCACCTTTTCTCACTCGCCTCGTCTCAATCTCACCTTTTCTCACTCGCCTCGTCTCAATCTCACCTTTTCTCACTCGCCTCGTCTCAATCTCACCTTTTCTCACTCGCCTCGTCTCAATCTCACCTTTTCTCACTCGCCTCGTCTCAATCTCACCTTTTCTCAAAATCACCTCCTCTCGAATGGTCCTTGCATTACTATGAGGGGTGGTACAAAGGAAGATGCAGAACACACAAGCACAACAAACATCCAAACCGAGATCCGGACTACCTCAAGTCTCCTACCTACTCACCCCCCCCCCCCCTCTCTGTCCAACCATACTGGTCGAGCGGGGCCTCAATCAACTGGTGCAGCTGTCCCTCACTGAGAGGGATGATGGGTCCTCTGAAGCCGAGCTCGTCCGCCGCCAAGGCCTCGTTGGTCTTGGAGTGGAGGGCGTTGGCCTGCGCCCGCTGGAGGCACACGCTCCAGCGCTGGCGGTACTCCGTCAGCAGCTTCACTGCTTCGTAGGAGGTAGGAGCCGCGTTAAACCGCAGCTTTGCCGACAGCTCTGCGCACTGCCGCAGGTAAGCCATCACCCCCGGCGAGGGGTAGCCATAAGTCTCCACTGCAAGCGCGTGGAACCCCACCCACGCGTTCCGGCGTGCGTACTTATCCTCCTTTTTCTCTGCTGCCGCCCTGGCCGCCCATCCAGGAGCTCGGTTGCAGTTCTCGTCCTGCCTTGACACCGGGTCCGTCACGGTCACGTCGCACATCCAAACCTCACTAGTCAGGGGATGACGGATGGTGACATCCGCCTTTAGGTTTTCAACCATTGAGTAGACATACGTCTCCTTATGAACCGTAAACCCCGCCTCTGCCCCAATGTTCGCTATCTCATCCCGCAGAGCGTGGTGGGTTGCGGTCCTCCCTTTCCCATTCTCGCAGCGCATGAGGTGGTTGGGGAGGCGGTCGTCGGGGAAGGTGGTGCGGTAGCGGCAGTCACAGCGTCCAGGCACTGGGAGGGGGAGGCCTAGGCGGAAGGCAGCTGCAGTTGAGAGCTGGGACGGGCCCATCCGAAGCGAGGGGGTGAGCGGGATCGCCAGCAGCCAATCCCCCGCGCCTGGGCCCAGCACCGACTGCATCCGTTGCGCATGGCCAGAGCGGGGGTTGGGGCGCATCCGCCTTGCCTCGCGCATGACTCTCAGGAAGCGGCGGGTGTGAACCGCCAGTGCTAGGTTCTGCTGCAGCTTCAGTCCATGGGGGTCCGCCTTCCCGGCCTGCAGCACCTCGAGAGCCTCGGGGGGCAGGGCTGCCTCAGCCGCGGCGAGGCGTGCAGGTAGCGCGTGTGGGGAGCCGTGGGTTGGGTCCAAAGGGGGAGGAGCGCGGCGACAGCGGGGTTCAACGAGTCCTCCAGGGAGTGCAAGAGGTGGGCTGTGCTGATCACTGAGGCGAGGTAGGCATAGCTGCCTTCAACGGCGGGGTCAGTGATGCCCAGGCCTCCCAAAGTCACAGGCAAGGCCGCCTGCCGCCAAATCCTCCGTCTCTCCCAAACGCTCCTCGGCCTCATGATGTGGGCCGAGTCATGGAAGGTGTGAAGGAGTTGTTCCCCCAAGCGGACCATTCGGCTTCAGGGAGGGCCTCTAGGGGGGTGCTTCTGGCCAGGAAGGAAGCTCGGCGGCTGACACAGCGGGTGAGGAGGAGGAGGGCAAGTTGGGGGTCCATCTGGGCCAGCAGGGGGAGAGGCGCTGCTGCTGCTTCCAATCTCGCTCTCACAGCATCTGCTCAGCCTCGGGCAGTGCCCACGGGGCTGCCGAGAATCTGCAAACCCTCCTCAGAGATGGTGGCGCCTGGGGGGACTGAGGAGGCGTCGATTGCTGCGGCGGACCACGCCGCGCACTTAGCCGGATTGTGCACCAGGCCGAGGGCGGCTAAAGCAGAGGTGAGGTGGTCGAAAGCCGCAGAGCAGGCCGTGGCGTCGCCGAGCAGCGTGATATCATCGGCGTACAGGACCACCTGAGGGTGTGCAGCCGCCGCGTCCACGAGGCACGGGTGGATGCTAGCCGTGAACAGGAGTGGGCCAGGCGGGTCTCCTTGGCGAACACCCCTGGCGCTCTGCAGCGGGGCTACGCCGAAGTCGTGGTCGAGGAAGAGCGAGGAGGGAGTCCCTCGTTTTTCAGTCCTTCAAACACCGCCCTCCTTTCGACCACGTTGAACGCATTCGCGAGGTCAATCTGCAGCGCCACTGCCCCTGGGTGCACTTCCAGGTACGTGCGAGCGGAGTGGATAGCCGCTTCGATCCCTCCCGCTACTGCGACTCCGAACTGAAGCGGAGCAAAGTGGGTACGAGCGGTCGGCGCAGTGAGGAAGAGCGCGGCTTTTGCTATTATCCGGAGGAGGCACTCCCCCACCACAATCGGCCGCGTCCCTCCCTGTGGTTTCGTAAATGCTAACAGGCGGGATGACGTTAGAAGATCCCCAGCGACTGTGGGGAGTTTTCCTACTAGAGCTGTGTTATTGAGGGCGAGGAGGTGGGTGAGTACTTCGGCGTTGCCCAGGGCTGCGTCGCGGATGTGCTCGAAGGTTGTTCCAGATGGGCCGGCCCCTACTCCGTTGGGGAGTTTGGCGAGGAGGCGTCTGAAGTCGCGAGCTTCGATAGTGGGTGGGTCTTCCGCTGTGGCGGTGCGGAGCCAGTCAGTAAGTGGTTGGCAGGCGGATGGGTGTCTCGTCGTGAGGGCTTCCAACACTTCAGGTGAGGCGGGAGACACAGGAGTGGCCTGGAGGGATTGGAGTGATTTTGACAGGTTACCCCGTTTTGCGAGTCCTTCTGCCCGTGCCAGTATCCCCGTTGTGTCAGGTGAGTGGCGAGGTTGCGGTGGCAGTGAGATCGCCTGGACAGCTTCTTCGTACAGGTCCCCCCGGAGGCCTTGGCGAAATCGCTGGAGCCGATTCATCATCGCGCTCCAGTCAGGTTTGCGGGCTAACGAGGTGCGGAGGAGTAAGCGCGGGAGAAAAGTCAGTAAGTTCCATCCTGGTGGAGACTCAGGATTGGCCGCCAGGTGGAGTAACGGAGTCAACATGCAGATCGCGAAGGAGTCGCGAAGGTCTTTGGTGGGGTGTCGAGCGAGGGGAGGTTGGCAACTGTCGCGCAGCGGGTCAAGGTTCCAGTCTGCAACCTGAGCGAAAAGGTCAGTATTTTTCGCCAGGTCGTCAGGTTTGAGCGTTGGTGGGGTTGGGGAGGGGCCTGCAGAATTATCATTGGCTGCTACAGAGTCAATTCCGTCTTCTGTCGCGGCTCAATTTCCCCCCCTTGCACGATTTCCCCCCGCGGTTCGATTTCGACCTGTGGTTCGAGTTGCAGGTTCGTCCCGGGCCTGATGGTTTGGAAACTCCGCTTCTCGAAGTAGCGTCTCCAATTCTTCCTCGTCCTCGGCTTCTGCTTCCAACATCCCCTCTCTTTCTGGGTTGAAAACAGGGTCACCCCCTTCGCTTTCTTCATTCTCAGCTTCGTCCTCTGCCTCCTCGCTGTGCTCCTCCTCGCCGCCTTCCACGCCTTCGCGTATTAGCCGTTCAGCAGTTCTCGCGTAACCGCTTGCGCCGGTGCGGCGCCGATTTGTGCCGCGCGCTCCTCCACCTTTTCGTCCTCTCCCATTCCCTCGTCGTCCGCGGCGGCTGCTGCCGCGTCCCACGCGGATACCCCGCGTTCCTCTCCCTTCCGCGGCTCCCACGCGCCCTGCCTGCGGCGCCACGTCCACCTCGTCCTCGTTTAGTCGGCGTGATGGCGTCGGCTGCGGTGCGGTCGGGGGTGATGGATCCATCCGCGAGACGGGATCCGGAGCTCGAGGGATCCGCGAAGAGCGCGTTGCCGGAACCTGCGCCTGGCGGTCTTCGCCCGCGTGTCCCTGCGCACCCCTCCGCAAGCGAGCCCGTCCGCCGCTTCGACCGGGTGCTGACTCTTCCCCAACGGCCTGCCCCGCGCCCCACCTAGCCGGAGTATTCGTGGGCCCCTGCGCGTGTTGCGTCGAACCGCCCGGACGGTCAGCCGCGGCAGGAGCGCGGGCGCTCGCCTCTGCGTCAGCCTCCGCGGCAGCCCTCTCCTCGGCGCCCATCTCCTTAGCATCGTGAGGCTCATCCGCGGGGTGGGGGCGATCGGCGATCCCCTGGGCGTCCTCGTTCTCCTCGCCACCCGTCTCCTCGTGGTCGGGCAGGCCAGCGCTCACCCCGAGCGCGATCCCCCGCGCAACGGTCTCCGCGGCGATCTCCGGCGACGAGGGGGAGAGGGTCGCCTGGACGTCGCTGGGATTCGGGGCGTCGCGAGCAGTCCCCCCCGCGTCCTCACTCGGCAGGTTCTGACGGCCGGCGAGGCCGGCGGAATGGCGGAGGTCGTGGCGGTAATGGTCGCCAGCAGGATCCTGCCCTCGATCACGCCGCAGACACGTTTGTGGAGGTGGTGCGGCAGGCCCGGGCGAGTGGGGGGCCGACTCACGTCCATATAGAGGTGACCAACGGTCCCCCCTTCGCAGGGAAGGCAGGGAAGGCACAGAGGGCCCCTTAAATAGGCTCAGAGGGAGAGGGCAGAGGGAAGAGGGAGAGGGCTGAATGCTAAGGCCTTCTCTCTCTCGCTCTCTCTCAACCGAAGAAAATGAAACACCCACGAAATAATGAGGCAGGGAAGGCACCGAGGGCCCCTTAAATAGGCTCAGAGGGAGAGGGCAGAGTGAAGAGGGAGAGGGCTGAATGCTAAGGCTCTCGCTCTCTCTCAACCCACGCCTCTCCCACTTTCACCTCCTCCCCATTCTCAGCTCATCCCAAGCCAGCACACACTCTTCAATGCTCCCCATTGCCTCCTGCACCACTTGCCTGCACCTCTGTAATCTACACTAAACCTCCCCTCTTATCCCTCCTCCCACCCTCACCTCCTCCCACTCTCACCTCATCGCACGCCTTCACATCCTCGTCAATGCTCCCAATCGCCTCCCGCACAACCTGCCTCCGCTCCTCCGCCATCTCCCCCCCATCACTGCGTCAAACTCCCCCTCCCACCCTTTCTCCCCCTCTCACCTCAATTGAAGCTCGCCCCTTCCCCCTCTCACCTCACTTGAAGCTCGCCCCTTCCCCCTCTCACCTCATGTCGATCTCGCCTATTCTAACTCACCTCCTCCTCAATCTCACCACATCCCATGCTTGCACACACTCGTCAATACTCCCCATTGCCTCCCGCACCACTTGCCTCCTCCCCTCCGCCATATCCTCCCCCATAACCGCATCAAACTCCGCCTCCCACCCTTTCTCCCACCCCCTCGCCGCATCACACACCCCCACCTCGCCCTCCCCTGCTGCTGGCCCCGGCCAGTTAGGTTCGGAAGGGGCGATGCGGGAGACGAGAGCTCGGGCCTGAAGGAAAGGGTCAGGCGCGTGGGGGGAGGAGGAGAGATGAATGAGGTTGAGTCACACACACCCCCACCTCGCCCTCCCCCGCTGCTGGCCACGGCCAGTTAGGTTCGGAAGGGGCGATGCGGGAGACGAGAGCTCGGGCCTGAAGGAAAGGGTCAGGCGCGTGGGGGGAGGAGGAGAGATGAATGAGGTTGAGTCACACACACCCCCACCTCGCCCTCCCCCGCTGCTGGCCACGGCCAGTTAGGTTCGGAAGGGGCGATGCGGGAGACAAGAGCTCGGGCCTGGAAGAAGGGGAAATGAGGAAATATGGCCAGTTCCTGCCAGAAGCACACAGGTGGTCGCATGGCCGGCACGTGTAAAAAGTGAATTTTTGAGACGTCTCAAAAGAAGTAGCCTCTTGCAGAGTAAGGAAGGATTCGAACTGAAGCAAGCCATGTGGTCGCAGCAAGCCGTGTAAAAAGTGAATTTTTTAGACGTCTCAAAAGAAGCACACGGGCGGTCGCATGGCCGGCACCAGCAGCAATCTCCCCTTATCAGTTAACTTGCTCCCAGAAGCACACGGGCCGCTGCACGGGCGGCATTTGCCGTTATTTAGCGGTACTGAGGAGTTGAGAGAGCACATGGGTGGCAGCACATGGGACGCGGCACATGGGTGGATCTGTCCTTTGGAGCCCCAAGTAGGAGCCATGGCTCGCATGGCAGCGGCTGCTTTTAGCGAACAGTTGCTTAGGTAGGTTTATGCTTGCTTGTAAAAAACCTTTGTGTAAAAGGACTGTAGCATAAACCTACCTAAGCAACTGTTTGCTAAAAGCAGCCGCTGCCACGCGAGCCATGGCTCCTACTTGGGGCTCCATTGGCCACATGGGACGCGGCACATGGGGACCCGTGGGACCTCACATTCGTGTAACGCGGCACATGGGATGCGGCACATGGGTGGATCTGTCCTTTTGAGAATTCTAAAAAAACATGGGTGGCGGCATATGGGACGCCTTTGCCTTGCAGGGCTTTTGCGAATCCTTGAAAACCACCAGTAACAACTCTTGATGTGCCCAAAAAAAACTTCACTCTTCTTACCTTTTCGCCTGTAGCACACGGGCGGCTGCACGGGCGGCATTTGGCGCCATTTAGCGGCACGGAGGAGTTGAGGGAGTAAACGGTGGGGGCACAGCCGTCAGTGTAGGTGCGTTGGGAGAGCACACAGAAGGGCAGGCTGGCTCGTTGCACCTTGATGCCCCCTAGCGATAGCTGGGCTTTAAAGGCTCCTTCTGAATTGAGGTTCCTGAGAGGAAGAGCAAGAGGAGGGTGGGGGGTCAGGCATGGGAGGAGGGTAGGTGAGCGCACAGAAGGGCACGTTGGCTTGTTGTACCCTTCTGGGCTAGCTGACGCCCTCCAGGGCTAGCTGGGCTTTAAGGGTCTCTCTGAGTTGAGGTCTCTGGGACGGGGAGAGGATGGTGGGAGGGAGAGGCAGAGCAGGGGACGGAGAAGCAGAGTAGGGGACGGAGAAGCAGAGTAGGGGAGGGCGAAGCGGAGCAACATTCACACCCATTCACACCCATTCACTCACCGCATCTTCCGCCTTGCCAGCAGCTGCAGCGCACTCAGCCGCTTCAACGCTGCTTCACTCGCCTGCCTCCCTCCCATCCCAAACCGGTCGTTAAGCCCCCACCAGTCCGACCCATACGGAATCGTGTAGGCCAAGTTATCACCCACCCCAATGTCATCAAGAATTGCCGCTGCTGCTGCTGCTGCTGCTGCTGCTGCTCCTGCTGGTGCAGCGGCGGTGGTGGCTATAGCAGGGACACTGGGCGGCAGGATGGGCGGCGGGGGTTGGATTGGAGCGGGGGCGGTCCAGAGGGAGTCGAGGCGGGCTCGCACGATCCAGTTGTAGCGCAGGGGCGGTGCTGACGTGGCTTCAAACGATTGGATCATGTCCCAGCACCCCTCCACCAGGCGGAAGTACTGTAGCAGACCCTGCAGGCCGCTGGGGGAATCTCCAGTGAACATCACGCCAGTGGGGTATTTTGTCTCATCCACGTCACTGTTCGGGAAGACCCTCACAGCTGCTATGGCGTTTTCCCGCGCCAGCTGTGGCCAATCCCGAGCTGCCACGTCATTACCCCTCGGCTTCCGTTTTAATCCAGAATTCCAGCTAATACTGCTGCCCCAGATGCCGCTGCTGGTACTGCGGACGAAGCTTCGGAGGAAGCTGAGTTTGGCAGCAGTTTCGTCTAGAGGCGCGTGCAGGAAGAGGTGTAAGGGGCGGTGGGAGAGGTGTGAGGAGCGGTGGGAGAGGTGTGAGGAGCAGTGTGAGAGGTGTTGGGGGGAGGGGTGTGCGGAGGGCAGCAGTAGGTGGCGCAGCAGCGAGGGGCCCGTTGCCTCAAAGGCCCGCGCCGACCCCACCAGACACATTGCTATGGGCGGCTGGGGGGAGGGGAAGAGAACATGGGAATGAGGAGGGATGGAGAGGGGGTAGAGGGTTGATTCAGTCTGCCTCAAAGGCAAGTGCCGACCCCACCAGACACACTGCAATGGGCGGCTGGGGGGAGGGGAAGAGAACATGGGGAAGAAGGAAGAAGGAAGAATGGAGAGGGGGTAGAGTGGTTGATTCAGTCTGCCTCAAAGGCAAGTGCCGACCCCACCAGACACACTGCTTTGGGAGGAAGGGGTGGCAACTGGGGCCACGGGGCAGGGGGCATGGGGCATGGGGCAGGGGGCATGGGGCATGGGGCAGGGGGCATGGGGCATGGGGCAGGGGGCATGGGACATGGGGCAGGGGGCATGGAGCATTGGGCAGGGGGCATGGGGCATGGGGCAGGGGGCATGGGGCATGGGGCATGGGGCAGGGGGCATGGGGCATGGGGCAGGGGGCATGGGGCAGGAGGCAGGGGGCAGGGGGCATGGGGCATGGGGCATGGGGCAGGGGGCAGGGGGCAGGGGCAGGGGGGAGGGGGCAGGGGGCATGGGGCATGGGGCATGGGGCAGGGGGCAGGGGGCATGGGGCAGGAGGCAGGGGGCAGGGGGCAGGGAAGGAAAGAGAGCAGTGGCACGCACATGGAGCAGGGAATAAAATGGTTGATTCAGTGGCCTCACGGCACGTGCTGATTCCACCGGACGGACACATTGCGATGAGGTCAAGAGAAGGAGGTGGTGCGGCGAAAAGAGGTTTGCGACATCTTGGGATGCCTGGATTTGAGCCAATTTAATCTGAGACTGACTTTGAACCGACTGAATTTGAGACCTTTAGCTTTGCGCTGACTGAATTTGAGACCTCTAGCTTTGAGCTGATACAAGTTCACCCAAGTTCACTCACTCTCACTCTCTCGTTCATTCACTAATGCCCTCAATCCCTCCCTTACTCACTCACTCACTCGCATCACCCCCTCCTCCAGGAGCCTCGAGGTTGTCGCGCCACGAGCGTCTGGGCGGCCAGTGCACCGCCGAGAACGCGGCCATCAGCACGGCAAAGACTAAAACGAAAGCCGTGGCCAAACCTCGCTCACTCACTCACTCACCCACTCACATCATCATCCCTTTCTTCAGGTGCAATGAGCTTGTCGATCCACGAGCGTCTGAGCGGCCAGTGCACCGCTGAGAACGCGGCCGTCAGCACGGCGAAGACTAAAACGAAAGCAGTGGCTCTTAGAAGCACCATCGCGCCGCCGCCTGCTAGTCCGGCCTTTAGGCGAATAAAGGCCGCACGAGCTAGGCGAAGCGCCCTCCAAATGTAACCTAAGGTGGCGGGTGAGGGGTGAGTTAATTCCATAGAAAAACAACCGCGAAGAAGACCAAACCGAAGAAAGGTGAGTGAGCTACTAGCGGGAGAACTGAATTCTGACAGGAGCTCGGCCCCGATCCTTACCAATCGCTTCGGCTACAGACGTAGTAACGCGCAAATGACACTCGCTGAGTGTGACTGTATCAGAAGCGCCGGCTACTCGTTTCAGGCACAATCAAAACGACCCTAAGACTTGTTCTGGCGACCAGTAAGGGGATTCGTACTGCAAGCTCAATTCAAGGAGAATCCAGACCGTGCTGGGCCTCTTCGAGTCGACTCAAAATGACGGACAAAATTCCGGATTAGTCGGAACCTTGGTCCCTTGTACCCGCACGCACAGTATCATGCCCACGTTCCAATTTTCCTGCCGGTTCTCTGTGCATGTTCAACGCCGCCGACTGCTCTACGACGCGCGATGGCCATTTCTTGGCTTCTTTGCAAGGTCCCGGCGATCCTAACAAACGATTTTATACTCGTCCTCGAAAACGCGGCCCGAACGATGGCAGACAAATAGCTCCCTTGAAACTTACGCGTAAAGAGGGACTGGCTGGCAGGCAGGCAGCCGCACAGAGTAAACAAATGAAACCACCGATTCCGCATCCTCTTGGCATCTGCTCCGCACTAGTCTGCTGTACGTCCCAGGCATTTAGCTGGCCAACGTCCGTCCTGAGGCAACGTCGAGTGACGTGCGATGTCAGCGTCAACTGACCGCGGGCAGGAAAAGGCCATCAGGATGAAGTAAAAACCCTAAACACCATGCGGGATTTCGTGATTAGGGCGGGGTCCGACAATGATCAAATTCATGCTTGCTGAGGGGTATGCCAACTGTATGGGGTTATTGTTTTTGCCCGCAGGCAGCCGTTGGCCCAGTCAGGTTTCTATGGCTCGACTAATCGCCTGAGATATACAGATGTTCTGGCTTAGAAGCCCTTCCTAAAAGAGTCCCATTTCCTCAACGAGTAGATTTTTCACATAAGTCCTAGGTGTATCCCCTCCTCTACAGTCCCATTTCTGGCGGGAAATCTTGCATCTTGACTGAATCATTGCACGAATCAGTTCCGCAGCCAATCAGAGAACGCAAATCGAACCTGTCAGAACATTTAGAGAAACTAAAACAAAAGGAAGTTTTGATTCACTATTTCTTTTTTTGCATTGTGTTTGTCTGTTTATCTTGACCGCTCTTGAGTCGAAATCCTATTGCGCGGTTCCCCGCGAGCTCCGACGATGCCACCTCATTAATCTCGCTTACAGTGTAAAACAAAAATGTTGTCTTTCCTTTCGGCCTTAAAAATAATTTATTTTGTATTTTCCTGCCTGTTTGTCCTGCGACACTGATCAACGCGGCGAACCGTGCGACGAGAAGTTGAAGACAGCTTAGTCCGAATGTACGTATGTGCCAGAAAAACACGAATAGTAGCGAAGAAAAATATCTCTTCATGCAACTGTTCTTATATGGGACTATAAGCTCCCTTTTGCCCGGGGTTTGTGAGTTTTCTACAAAGGCCCGCAGCGCGCGTGTTTTTCACGTGGACTCTAATCGAGAACATTTGTACACATGATGCCCACCCCCTGCACGCGAAAAAGCCCTGCACATTTCGGAAACCTTACACCCGTGGGTTTTTTGCCCTGGTGTTGCACCTATGGTATAAGCACCTGAGACCACTTGCATCTACCAGGTGAATACTCCCAAACTGAGCAACACAGCAAAAGACAAACGTCAGCCGGTTGGCCCCGTCCCTGTTTTTAAGTCAGAAACAGAGGCTACGAAATGTAAGGACAAAATTCGTGAAACGTCGCCACCCAAAACTGATGTTACGTCATGCCACCTGTGCATCAACCAGGTGCGCCTAACAGTTCGTGTTTGTGTGTTAACTCCGACGTGTACATTGCCAATGCTCGGTACATGCCCCTTGTGAGCCTCACAGTCCGCAAACAACACACGTCACTATTCGTGGATGTGGTTACCCAGTCTCATAATCTCTAGAAACTGCGAGAGATGCATGTGCATCTCGCAGCAAGTGCGAAACCTCGCACACTCTCGAGACATAGTGACTAATCCTAGCGCCATTGCACCAGCATAAATCCACTCGACAACCAGCACTGCAATTCATGTTTAGTTATCTTAACAATCTCGCCAGATGCCTCGTCTCTACCATAGGTCTCAGCTCGCGCTGCATATCAAGCGGGCCATTTGTGCCCATCAACAGGCAAACCCTCTGCTGCGCCACGTGGACCTCGCACGTTGGTGTTTCACGCGTTTTGGTGTGAGGCCTGACCGTTCGACCATTGGTCGCGTTCTCAAAGGCGCCGACCGATGGCACGTTCCTGATGACGCCGTGGACGCCATTCGCGTCCGCGGCGGGGCATACCCCGAACTGGAGCGCTCGATGGCACGCTGGATTTCAAATGCAGGCCCCGCTGGCGTCCCTCTCACCCTCGCCACTATTCGCGACCATGTTGCGACGATGGCGCGTGCGAACGGCGCTCCGCCGACTTTCCGTTGCTCCATCGGCTGGGTCCGCCGTGCGCTGCGCCGCCAGGGAGTACGGTGCATGAGCGCGGTCGGCGAGGCGGCCGACCAGGATCTGAACGCAGTGCGCACCACTAAGGAGAAGCTTCCTCAGCTTCTCATGCATCTCGGCGTGCGCCCGCGTGATACTTTCGATTTCGACGAGACTGCGCTGTACATCAGCGTGCTTCCTCGCAAAACGTACGGCACGGGCAGGTCGGCAGGGCGGAAGGTTCCGAAGGACCGCCTTACCGTCGGCTTCTTGGTTAATGCGGACGGGACGCACGCATTCCGTCCGCTTGTCATCTCCAAGGCTAAGCGGCCACATGATTTCAGGCCGGACTTCGACCCCGAGGAGTATTGCTACTGGCGCAACACCGCTAAGGGGTGGATGACCAAAGCCGTGAGTTTGTTTTTACAATTTCTAAAAGCCTCGTTATTATCGTACCCGTTGTTGCCTATGTTTGTGATCATGATAAAGCCCCATAACAAAAATTTGAAAAACAAACATGTTACAGCCTGTGCTTTTTAAAAGCCTCGTTATTATATGTACCCGATGTCGGCTATGTTTTTGATCATGACAAAGCCTCCTAACCTACCCCAACTTCGCCTACACCCCTTTGTGTTGCAGCTCTTCATGCACTTTTTTGAGCAGTTGGACACCGCCATGTACGCAGAGGGCCGCCAAGTCGTCGTGCTGCTCGACAACGCGAGCAGTCACACCCTGACAACCGAGGGCGCAGAAACCGAGGACCTCTTCGGGTTCCGCACGCGAAAGCTCAGTAACGTGCGCCTCGTCTACCTGCCGCCGAACACCACCTGCTTCACGCAGCCACTCGACCAGGGGATGATCGCCATGACGAAGGCGTGGTACCGCCAGCACTGGCTTCGCGCCTTCACCGGCATGTGGACTGCTGACGGCGCGACTTCCGCGGCGGCAAGGTTCAAGCCGAACCTCCGTCGCGTGCTGGAATGGCTCCATGACGCGTGGATGAATATCCCACACGTCACTATCCAGCGCTGCTGGTGGCGCACCGAGTGCCTACCGTGGGCGTGGGCGATGGAACTCCCGCACGTGGAACAGAGCGGCGACCCACAAGTCCAGGCTGGGGGTGACATTGGCCTGGACGAGGAGTTGAACGACGTAGGCGTCTTAATCGATCGTCTCGGCCTCGGGCCGTCCGCGCTGCCTGCGGCAGCGTTCGTCGGAATTGATGACAACCAGCCGACGTGCGCCGAGCCGGGCGAGGACCCCCTGGCGCGGGAGCCGGCGTCGGCGCAGACGGCGCATATGTGGGAGGCGCCGGCGGCGATGCAAGCGGTGTACGACGATAACAACCCTGCGACGCGCGAAGCTCGTCGCACTGCACGCGCCGCCTGCGAGATGCTCATTGGGTACGCGCGTGCGACGTGCATCACGCCGAGGGATTTGTGCGCGCTGTTTGACATCCGCAACCCCATAATCATCGCGCGGATGGAGCGCGCAAGCCCGGCACTTAACCTTAACGCTACTCCGCCGCCAGCGCCGACACACGAGGACACCCCGCCGGCAGAGACTCCACGTCGCCGCGGTCGCCTTCTGCCGGCATGGATGACGGTGCCGACCCCTGACTGGGTTGCCCAATCTGCTCGCCGGCAGGAGCTTATCGACGCTGGCGCTCCCGCCGTGATGAGCGGATATCTCGCTGCGGCAGAGTGGATGAGGCTATGAAATTCACTCTGCATTGTGCAAATTTCAGCATTTGCACAAGTGTGTACGACTCATGCACACATGTGGTAAACGGTGACTGCATTACATAGCAGGGCCGGGGAAGGGGGGGGGGGGGGGTTGTTTGTCGCGGCAGAGACAGTTGTGGCTATCCCATTCGTTCACTGATGTTTGTGATGAAGGGAGAGGTGAATTGTAATTGCATCTGATAGTCTGGTCTCGATAAAAGTGGTAACCCAGTGCATTAGCTCGCAACAAAGGATGCCGCCCAACACTATACATGGAAAAAACAAACATGTTACCGCCTGTGCTTTTTAAAAGCACCCGACGGCCCAGGCGATGTTGACGAACCATGCGAAAAACGCAGATCGGTTATAAGCCCAGAGGACAAGGAAACGACGGGGGACTATAACGCGCATCAGGTGTACCGTCCCCGTTCGGTCTGATACTGTAGAAAAGCCTGAGAGCAGGGGAAAATCAGCTGAAACTGGGGAGCAGTGGCATCGAGGTTGTGGTTATGGCGAATGTCACGTTGCCACGACGACTCGCCGCCACACCTTGGGTATTCGATCGACGATCCTAGCTGCGATGAGATAGGCTGATTACTTGACGTACCTTTCTGGAGTCTCATCCATGATTTCGATTGGTCCGGTGCTGACAGCGTGTAACCTTGATTGGTCCGAAGAGGAACTTCCATAGGCCTGACGACGAGGGCTGCTGACCTAGGGAGCAGCGCCGGCCGGATGCATTATGGCGACACACCGGGCATCCGCGTGCGGCCCTGGTGGGAACCCCTTTCCACCAGGAGGGGGCCCTGGTGGGAACCGACCCACCAGGGCCCGGATGGACTATGGCGAATGTCGCCACGGGCAAATTGAGTTTCGACGACACCCCCTACGTTCTGTTTGGGTGATTACTCGAGGTCCCTGTCATGCGTGAGTTCGACTGGTCCGGTGCTGACAGATTGTAACCCCCGATTGGTTTGACGACTGTTTACACTATTTTCCCGCCAAGTCCGGTTTTAGTAATCAGCTGTCAGTCGACTGACAACTGCGATGATGCCATCAACCGTAACACTGAATAAATATATCCCTGTAACTCAAAAGGCAGAAACTGTTCGCAGTCGCCTCAGGTGTCGAGCAGTGGATACAATCCTGGCCTTCAGGTATTATTTTATGGAAAGGCTCGCACACGTAGTAATAGCTGTCGTGAAAGGTTTCTTATGGAATCTCTTCTTTCCCCCATAACGCGTTTTTTTGCGTCACCCCGCCCGCGCTTGTGGCAAAATTCGACCCCCTAACGTTGACGGGTGATGATCACATTGGGCCGTTCTTTGTGCCATAACCGTTCTTTGTGCCAGGGCCGTTCGCTCACGAGTATTTTGTTTCAAACCCTAGAAAGTCCCCATAAGTAGGAATGTGCATGTGATTGAGTCGACTCGACAGTCGCGTCACACCTGGGCTTGCGCCTCGGCCTCAATGGCTGAGTCACTTCCGAGCTTGGACCACGCGGTTCGTCAACCCCTTCTCAGTCTACTCCAAGGTCAAGGCTCACAGGTTGACGGAACGAAACCTGCTTGAATTCTGAGCCTGGACCACGCGATTCGTCACCACGTAACCCCTTTTTGACTCAACTCAAAAGTCATTGCTCACAGGTTGAAGGTAGCAAATCCGCCTGATTTTCGGCCTCAGTTCATGGCTCCCTCCCCGTTTCGCCTTCCCAAGTCGCGTGATCGCGCCGCTGGCGGTTCCTGTTGGCTGCAGCCGCGCTCGGGATTGCGGTCCGTGTGCCTGCTAGCAGCCTGCGCGGCGGCGCTGGTTCCGCTGCTTGTCTCATTCTCGGCCTTGAATGCAACGAATCAGGGCACTTTGGAGGTAAGGTGAATATTTCTCTGGTGGCTGATACAGCCGCTCGTGCCGCTGCTTATCTATCTGTCTGGCTTGAATACACCGAATCAGGACAACTCAGAGAATAAGGAGCGAGCGGTGAGATGAGACACATTGGTGCGCGTTTCCGGGAAATAGCCGTTTATATCACGCCACTGAACTGCTACCTGCCTACGGGTCCCAGTGCTCTCTTTCCCTGCCCTATGCCCCCAATCCCCATCCCTCTCCGCTGTGCCTTGTGTCTGGTGAGCTCACCGCGTGCCTTTGAGGCTATTTGATCAGCTCTTTCACTTCCCCCTCCGTCTTTCCCACTGCTCTCTTTCCTTCCCTGCCCCCTGCCCCCTGCCTCCTGCCCCCTGCCCCATGCACCCAGCCGCCCATAGCAATGTGTCTGGTGGGGTCGGCGCGGGCCTTTGAGGCAACGGGCCCTTCACTGCTGCGCCACCTGCTGCTGCCCTCCGCGCAACCCTCCTCCCACCCCTCACACCGCTCCTCACACCTCTCCCACCCCCCACACCACCCCTTACACCTCTTCCTGCACGCGCCTCTGGACGAAACCACTGCCAAACTTGGCTTATTTGGAGGAATCAAGGGGGGAGGGTTTGGGGCAGGGGGGCTTGGAGTAGAGGGTGTGACTATAGCGAGTGTGAAGATCTTCCCGAGCAGTGATTTGGACGAGACAGACAACAGGAAAAGGGCGCTCAACTGGGAGTCCTCGCCTCAGGGCTTGCAGGTGAGCAGGAGGATGAGAGACGTGGTGACTCAAAAGTCACCAGGTGAGCAGGAGGATGAGAGACGTGGTGACTCAAAAGTCACCAGGTGAGCAGGAGGATGAGAGACGTGGTGACTCAAAAGTCACCAGGTGAGCAGGAGGATGAGAGACGTGGTGACTCAAAAGTCACCAGGTGAGCAGGAGGATGAGAGACGTGGTGACTCAAAAGTCACCAGGTGAGCAGGAGGATGAGAGACGTGGTGACTCAAAAGTCACCAGGTGAGCAGGAGGATGAGAGACGTGGTGACTCAAAAGTCACCAGGTGAGCAGGAGGATGAGAGACTTGGTGACTCAAAAGTCACCAGGTGAGCAGGAGGATGAGAGACGTGGTGACTCAAAAGTCACCAGGTGAGCAGGAGGATGAGAGACGTGGTGACTCAAAAGTCACCAGGTGAGCAGGAGGATGAGAGACGTGGTGACTCAAAAGTCACCAGGTGAGCAGGAGGATGAGAGACGTGGTGACTCAAAAGTCACCAGGTGAGCAGGAGGATGAGAGACGTGGTGACTCAAAAGTCACCAGGTGAGCAGGAGGATGAGAGACGTGGTGACTCAAAAGTCACCAGGTGAGCAGGAGGATGAGAGACGTGGTGACTCAAAAGTCACCAGGTGAGCAGGAGGATGAGAGACGTGGTGACTCAAAAGTCACCAGGTGAGCAGGAGGATGAGAGACGTGGTGACTCAAAAGTCACCAGGTGAGCAGGAGGATGAGAGACGTGGTGACTCAAAAGTCACCAGGTGAGCAGGAGGATGAGAGACGTCATTCTGCTTCTGATTCTTCTTCTGCTGCTGCTTCTGTTTCTGTTTCTATTTCTGCTTCTGCTTCTTCTACTTCTGTTTAAGCTTGTGTTACTGTTTCTGTTTCTGCTTCTCCCTTTCGTCGTGCGGGTCTGGTATGGAATTCCCTCCCTTTCAGCAGAGAAGCCTTTTCACAATCGTTCATGTTGAAAATCCAAAAATTAAAAAACATCGATCCAACCTTTTGGGTCCACTCAATTGTCACCTCGTTACAATGGCACACGACAAATCCCAAATATCATTCCTTCTGTTACGCCATTATTCCCTCACCCTCTTTCTCTCTTCCTCTCCGTTCCTTGAATCCCCCTCTTTGGGTTCTCCTTTTTCCTTTCATCTGTCCTTCTATTTCACTCCTTCTTGCCCCCACCCAATTCTCACTCATATCCTTCCTTTCTCTGTCCCCTCTCCTCCCCCTACTCTCCCCTTTCCTCTCACTCTTTCACCCCACCCTGCAGGGACTGCTACAGTACTTCCGCCTGGTGGAAGGGTGCTGGGACATGATCCAATCGTTTGAAGCCACGTCAGCACCGCCCCTGCGCTACAGCTGGATCGTGCGAGCCCGCCTCGACTCCCTCTGGACCACCCCCGCCCCCATCCAACCCCCGCCGCCCGCCCCACCGCCCGCCATTCCCCCTATTACCACTGCTGCAGCAGCAGAAACAGCGGCAGTAGCAGCAGAAGCAGCGGCAATAGCAGAAGCAGAAGCAGCAGCAGCAGTCTCAGCTGAGGAGGATATGTTTGGTAGCAGTGGGGTGGGTGACGGCAGTGGGGTGGGAGATGGGCTGGCCTATACGATTCCTTACGGGTCGGACTGGTGGGGTTTCAACGACCGGTTTGGGATGGGAGGCAGGCAGGCGAGTGCAGTTGCGTTGAGGCGGCTGAGTGCGCTGGATAAGATGGTGGCCGTTGGATTCAGGTGAGAGGGGGTGGTGATGGTGTGTATAAGTGTGGCAGTTGAAGGTGATACTGAGTGCTAGAATATGCCATAGTGAGTGCAGTTGCGTTGAGGCGGCTGAGTGCGCTGGATAAGATGGTGGCTGTTGGATTCAGGTGAGAGGGTGCATGCTGTGGCGTGGACGGGTGCATAGTTGGTGGTGTATAGATGGTGGTGGTGGTTCAGGCGATACTGTGTGTGGGCACTCAGCAGCAGCACTGAGGCGGCTGAGTGCGTTGGATAAGATGGTGGCTGTTGGATAAGATGGTGGCAGTTGGATAAGATGGTGGCTGTTGGATAAGATGGTGGCAGTTGGATACAGGTGAGAGGGGACAGAGATAGTGGCGTTGGTGGTGTGCATGCATGGTGGGTTGTGGTTGTGGCCACATGGGAGGCGAGGCGGCTGGGTGATTGTCGACAAGTCTCAGAAAAGGCTGCTGGGTGGGTACAAACAAACACGAGCTCGAGTCTAATCACAACTAAAAGTGACCGCTGGGTGGGTGGTGGGTGGGTACGAAACAAACAGATCCATTCTCGGACCTTTTTCAATGATGCCAGTGCTCGACATGCACACCCACGATTCTCTCTCACTTTCTGAGCCGCAAACAAAAAAAAAAAAAAAAGGTGACCTAAGAAACGAGATGGTGGCTGCTGGGTGATCTTTCGGCCTTCCCCTCCCTGTCCCCTTCCCTGCTCCTTTTACCCCTCCCCTCCCCCTCCCCCTCCACCCAGCCAGCTCAACTCAGAGGTGGTATTCAAGGCACAGATGGACATGGGGGGAGTGAGAGCGCAGCGTCAGAACCTCTCCTTTCCTTCCTCTCCACTTCCCCATTTTCCTCTTGGCCCCTTGCCCCCAGCCTGCTCAACTCAGAGATGGCGTTTAAAGCCCAGATGGACATAGGGAGAGTGAGAGGAGAGCGCCAGAACCTCTGTATGTTTTTCTAGAATTCTCAAAAAACATGGGGGGAGTGAGAGTGGAGCGCCAGAACCTCTCTTTCTGCATCCTCACTCGTCCGTCGCCACTCATTTCTAGACCTTTATTTTTCTGCCCCTTACCCCTCCTCCTTTCCGGCCCCATTCCCCCTCCCCCTTGCCCCAGCCAGCTCAATCCAGAGATGGCGTTTAAATTAAAGTCCAGATGGACATGGGGCAATTGGGGGTGCAGCGCCAGAACCTCTGTTCGCCAGAACCTCTCTTCGCCAGAACCTCTCTTCGCCAGAACCTCTCTTCGCCAGAACCTCTCTTCGCCAGAACCTCTCTTCGCGAGAACCTCTCTTCGCCAGAATCACCTTCCCCTTTCCTCTTCTCTAACCCTTTCCCTGCCTCCGTCCCATACCATGCCCCCGCCTCCATCCCCTATTATGCCCCGGCCTCCATCCCCTACTATGCCCCCTCCTCCCTCCCTCTCCCCTCAGCCAGCTCAACTCAGAGATGGCGTTTAAAGCCCAGATGGACATGAGGGGGTTGAGAGTGCAGCGCCACAACCTCACCTTCTCTTTCCTTTTCCCCATCCCCTCAGCCTTCTCCTCCCCTTCCCTGCCCCGTTCCCTCTGCCCCTTTCCCAGCCAGCTCAACTCAAAGACGGCATTAAAGCCCAGGTGAACGTGAAAGGTGTGAGAGTGCAGCACCACGATCATTCCTTCTGTATCGTTGTCTCCTCCGCCATTCCTGACCCCTCTTCCCCCCAACTTCCTACCCCTCCGCCCAGCCAGCTCAACTCAAAGATGGCAATCAAGGCACAGATGGACGAGGGGCGTGACAGTGAGGTGACAGAACCACTCCTTCTGCATCCGCGTCCCCTTCCCCTACTCCTCTTCTTCCCTGCCCCATTCGCTCTTCTCCTCTCCCCTTTACCCCAGCCAGCTCAACTCAGAGATGGCATTTAAAGCCCAGATGGACATGGGGGGAGTGAGAGTGGAGCGTCAGAACCTCTCCTTCTGTATCCTCACTCGCCGAATGTACCCCTTAGAGGACGACTCGTGTCCCGTTAAGATCCTCAGCGCTACTGCCAAGGTGCCTCTGAATGGGGCCAAGTGCCGTCTGTGCACGCCCTGCAAGGCCGGGGAGGAGGTGAGGGGGAAACATGGGATGGGAGCGGCCGGGTGCGGTGGGGTTGGGGGGAGTTGAGTGCGATATTACGTGTCTTGCTGCCAAGGTGCCTCTGAATGGGGCCAAGTGCCGTCTGTGCACGCCCTGCAAGGCCGGGGAGGAGGTGAGTGGAAAGGCAGGGGAGGAGGTGAGTGAGTAGGGGAAGGGGGAAGAGGGGATCGGGGTGAGATCAGGATCGGGGATATGCTTTCAGCCTCTTTTCCCCACCCACTCTCTTACCCTGCCAACCTCCATCCTCCCAACCCAACCGACTCCCCACCTTGCATGCTGAGAAGGCTCTAGCTGCCATCCCATGCACGGCCCCCAACTGGCCGGGCCCGTTCACTGAGGGTATAGACATCTGCTTTTAGCTTCTTTCCCCCACCACTCTCCACCCGCGCTATCTCCACCCCCCCAACCTCAACCCCCAACCTCAACCCCCAACCTCAACCCCCAACCTCAACCCCCAACCTCAACCCCCAACCTCAACCCCCAACCTCCACCCGCCAACCTCCACCCGCCAACCTCCACCCGCCAACCTCCAATTCCCACACCTGCCAGGCTGAACAGGCACTATCTGCCATTCCCGACACGGCTCCCAACTGGCCTGGCCCGTTCACTCAGGGGATTGACATCAGCTCCCTTCACCAACCACTCTCCACCCTTGTAACGTCCATCGACCCAGACTCTGATTCCACTTTGCAGGCCGAAGACGCGCTAGCTGCCATCCCCGACACGGCCCCCAACTGGCCGGGGCGGTTCACACAGGGGATAGACATGTGCCGTCATCTTCCTCACCCACTTCCCAACCCCCCCAAACCTCCAAACTCCACACCTACCAGGCTGAGCAGGCGCTAGCTGCCATCCCTGACACGGCTCCCAACTGGCCAGGGCCGTTCACTCAGGGGATAGACATGTGCTCCATCCACCAACCGTGGGAGGACATGTGGCAGCAGCAGTACGACGCTGTCATGGGCGCTGAGCTGGCACGCCAACGCCAAGCTGTCGTCCGCATGGCTGCTGACATGGCGCTCTGCGTGCGATCTTTCGAGCAGGTACGAGGGGAGGGTAATCTGCTAGATGCCTCACTGTTATACTAAATTCCTTTTCTGGTATCTTTCCCCCCCCGTAAACGAACCAGAGGGTACTGAAACGGCTGAAACAGCTGGAACGGCTTGTTTCTCTGTGATGTACTGTCACCGAATATGCATGATTATGCATATAAGGTGCCAGAGTATGCGGTGTAGATATGGTGTAGCAATGTTGAGTGTGCACATTGTAGGGCAGGTAGTTGGGGACCAGGGAAACTGACGCGAGGTGGGTAGGAGAGCACCGAGGGGTGGAATCCAAGGAACCAATGTGAACGAACCAACCCAGGCTCGAGCCGCACATTGAGAAATGCACGGTTCGAGCCTGGGCCAGGTAAATTCACTCTCTCACACACACCCGATGCTTTTCTCTTGTTATTCTCTCATATTAGTGGAAAGTTGTTACCTCAGATCTAGCATCCGGTGGCACGCCACTATGGGAGGACCTACGGGGTGAGGGAGGAAACTCTTTCATAACAAGAGAAAAGCCAGTGCGTGTGTGAGTTATGGACGAGTACGAGCTGCGTTGGGCTCGTCGTGAGGAGTAACGGCCGTGTCAGGGCCGGACGCATGAACGTGGGCGCTCGCTGGAGCGGTCGCCGCGGAGGCCAGCATTCCGCGCGGATCAGATTCCGTTCACGCGTGAACGACGCGGAGGCAGATCAGTTCGCGAAGGCAGAGACGGATCGGGATCTGCCATGACGGGCGGCGATCCGTGGCGGCTTGATGGACGACGAGAAGAGGGAGGCGGCGGACGACGTCGCCGAGATACGGGAGCGCCAAGCTCGCAGGGAGAAGGGGAGCGCCGTCGCGGTGGAGGAGACCGCGGGAGCACCCTGGAGGACCACGCGGTGTTTCGACGGGGGTACTGCAGCGAAGGAGATAAGGAGATCTCCTGCGCCGACGAGTCAGTGAAGGCGAGGCGCGAGGAAGACGGAACCAAAGTCGACGAGTACGGCGAGGAGCCAAAGCACCAACGTATGGAGGCGGGGACGCGACGCGATCTCCCGGCAGCACCAGGCGCATCGGATCAGGCGCCGGCGCGCGACGAGGCGGAGCAAGGTGGGGCGAATGAAGGAGATCGTTCGTCAGATAAGCGAACAGAGCTTGGCGACGACAGCCACGGAAAGGATTCGGCGCCTGAGCCACAAGAAAAGCAGGGCGACATGACGTATGAGCGTGCGGAAGAAGATCATCCTCTAGATACGCGTCGGCAGGACGAAGGAAGGCGAAAAGAGGGGCCGCATGCATCAGATCTGCATCACATGTGCGGAGGAAAGCGAGTCGACAGGTCGTGCTGGCCAGATCTGCATCGGCAGGGAGGGGGAAGGCGAAGTGATGAATTGCGCTCGCCAGACCCGCATCGGCCACGTAGAGGAAGGCGTGACGCGTGGTCACCTTTGCCAGGGGTAGAGCGGCAGCATGGAAGCAGCCGGGACACGCGAGCGAAGGCGAATCATTCGTCAGAGCAGCAGCGGGGGTGAGCGGAGATGCGATATGAAGTGCCCAGGGACGAGTTCTCACCTGATCCGCGTCGGCAGCGCGGAGGAGGGCGGAACGGAGGGTCGCGCTCGCCTGATCCGCGTCGGCAGCGCGGAGGAGGGCGGAACGGAGGGTCGCGCTCGCCTGATCCGCGTCGGCAGCGCGGAGGAGGGCGGAACGGAGGGTCGCGCTCGCCTGCTCCGCGTCGGCACCATGATGGGAGGCAGGGAGGCGGGGCGCGCTCGCCTGATGAGCATTGGCAACGAGATAGAAGACGGACTGGCGAGTCTGGCTCGCCTGATCCGCAGCGGCACAACGAGGGAAGGGCAAGGGGCGAGGCACGTTCGCTAGATCTGCAGCGTAAGCAGGGAGGGAGATGGGAGGAGGAGTGGCATCTGCAAGAAAGTCGCCGCGGGCATGGAGGAAGAAGGGACGAGAGATCCCCACCGCCCGAGAGGCACTGGCAGCGCGGAACGCTAAGGGAAGGACGGGCGAGGGCGCATTGCTCGCCAGAGCGGCAGTGGGGGCGAGCAGGAGCACGGATGAGTGCGGAGGACCTGCGAAGCGAGGCGGGACAGGACCAGCGCAGAAGCAAAAGGGGAGGCGGCGGTCTGGCGTACAGCACGGAGTGCGCCACAGAGGCAAGGGAAGGAATCGAGAGGGCAAGGGAGAGGGAGTCATCAAGAAGGCAGACGAGAGGACTGATTGAACCATGGGGAGACGGTTGGGGGAGCATAACGATGGCCACGCGAGTGGAAGTGCCGGCGCGATTCTCGAGAGATCAGCACACGGGGCCTACACTTAAGAACTACCTAATGCAAGTGGGGAGTGTGAGGTAGAGATGCGAGAGGAGCGGCATGGACTCGGTGGACTTCTTCCTGAGTCTGCCGAATACATTGGAAGGGGAGGCAGAAACGTTGTACAGGATGAAGATGGACGAGCTACTGGAGAAGGCAGGGAGGTATGGGGAAGACCCCACGGAGGCGTTCCTGAGGCGGCTGCAGCGGCAGTTTCCTGGAAATACAGCAGAGCGGATAAGAGAGTTTCAGGATTTCAGGAGGGGGCGGAGCGAGTCGTTGCTCACCTACTACAACAGGCTGATTAATGTGGCGGAGGATGTGACATGCTCAGACATGGGCCTACTCGTTAGCAAATTCCTCGATGGGCTGGACAATACCATGGGGAATGGGCTGCGAATGAAGGTTTACACACTGGGGGCAAACGCGACACTAGATGAGGTGTTTGAGTTAGCGGAGAAGATGGAGCTTGCGCAGAGGAAGTATGAAGCATACCGGCCCCGAACGACAGAGAAGAGCCGAGAACCGACATGGGCAGCAGTAAGGATGGCTGAGGATAGGGGAAGGTCAGAGGGACGAGGGGATGGTAGGGCAGAGAACAGGACCTGCTACAGACGCGGACAGTCGGGGCACGTTAGGAGAGATTGCAAGAACTGTGATTGCTGTGGGAAGCCGGGACACTTGAGGAGAGAGTGCCCAGATCCATCAGGGTGTGAAATCTACAGCAAGAAGGGACGTGAGGCGAAGGACTGCTACCAACGGGAGGGGACAGCAAAGGGGAACCCGGAAGAGCTCAAACGGCTACAAGCACAGCTGCAGGCACTCAGACCAAGGCAGGAAGCGGAGGCAGGAACGAGCGCCAGAGATGGGGATGACGGGGAAGTAGGGCAGGATGTGCAGCGCGCGTATATGGCCTGGAGGGGAAGGGAAGAGATGGGACTACGCAGTGGAGGGGAGGACAGCCAGCAGGAGCACCGACAAAAGGGAGGAGAGAAGGGGCAGCAGGCAGAGGAGCCAACTCCAAAGGACGTTGTGGCTCGCCACCCGCCGGACGGGCTAGTAAGCCAGATTTCAGCACTGGTGGTGAGAAATGGGGCGACGGCAATGGAGGGGGAGAAGGACAAGACGGTGATCACAGACACTGGAGCACGGAGTAGGAAGTTGGGGAAGGTCATGGCAGAAGAACTGGGACTGATAGCACCAGAGAAGCAGCTAGCAAAGGGGATGGTTGTGACGACGGCAGAAACGGGGGAACTTGAGTGGATGGCAAGCACCCATGCTCCGACTGAACTAACACTATTGCCAGGGAAGAAACAGGGGGCACAGAAGGGTATGCCAGCAGTAGCAGAAGCGGAAAGCAAGGCAGAGAGGGTGGGGGCACAGACGTGCACACCAGAAGTAGTAGAACCGGAAGGGAGAGAAGAGAAGGTGAGAACACAGGCGTGTGTACCAGCAGCGGCGGAAGCGGACAGGGAGAACGAGAAGGTGGGGGCATGGGCATGTGCTCCAGTGAGAACGGAAGGGAAAGAAGGGAAGGTGTGTTGACTTTTGAGTCGACTCAAAAGTCAACTTGCACAAGGAGGGGTGGAAAGACAGGAGGAGGGAAAGATGAAGACCGTGGGGAAGCAGGGCCAGCAGAGTAACTGGCAGCAGCCCATCCGTCAGGTCAAACTGTTGGGCGGGATAGGAGCAGGGTCGGCGGCAGTGATAAAGCATGGAAAGCAGTAAAGCAGTGGATTTACCAGGACAAGGAGCCCGTCGTAAGGAAGATGGCAGAGCACCATGCCGGGTGGAGGCTGCGCGAGAAGTCCCTAGAATTGTTGAGCAGGGAAGTGGTGCAAGAGGTGATGGGGAGAAGGGATCCTGTTGTGAAGATTGTGACAAAGGCGGAAGCGGCGAGCTGGGGGCAGGTGGAGTTGTTGGTAGCAAATTGGGAATGCCAGGGTGTTTCTCGAGCAGGGATGGGGCTAGGAGAAAGGGACCTTGGCACGAAACTAATAGAGAACCAGTTTCACATCATGAAACGGCTGCAGGAGAGGCAGGGAAGTATAGTGTTCCGAGTATAATTTTTGGATTTCAAAGGGGACAGCCGAGAGCCCACACGACAGGTGAGGAAGAGGATCATACAGCAGATGGGACTGGGGGCGAGAGATGGTACAGCAAAGGTGTGGGCACGAGCTCAGGTGGGGGCACGAGCTCAGGTGGGGGCACGAGCTCAGGTGGGGGCACGAGCTCGTCGGCTCGGGACGTGCCGGCAGAACTTGGTGCCCGCCCAATATCTGCAGGAGGAAATAGCCGGTGTGGGATGGGCTTGGGGGAGGAAGGTGCAGGGCATTTTAGAGCCAGTAAGGACAACGGCACGAGTGACTAGGAGGTGCTACAGCAAGCTTTACCCATGTAATCGGGGGGGACAGGAGGTACAGGCACTGTCAGCGCTGGGGGCAGACGAAAAGGGCGAAGAAGGGAAGGCGGGACCTGCTATGGTGTATGATCACAAGGAGGGCAGAAGGGAAGAGCCCACGGCTCTGGAGCGAGAGTTAGCCATGAGGAATGGAGAGAACATCACGGCAGCCCCAGGTGCGACTAAGCTGAAAGGAAGGAGGGCGTTGGGGAATACAATGAATGAGCAGATGATGAGGTCGGAGTCACTACAGGAACGGGTACAGGGTGGAGGGAAAGCAGAGCAGAGGCAGCAGCGGTCCCGCGAGGAGCCTGGTCCTGCATGGAAGGGGAGTATCCAGAGTGGAAGGTGGGAGAGACAGTGAGGGAAGAAGGGAAGAAGGTGATGTTGGCAATATTAGCAAAACACAGGAGGCGATTGGCCTTACAAGCGGTGGGGAAGGGCAGGGTAAAGCAGAGGCAACGCAAGGGAGAGGGGAGAGTGCCGAAGGGAGTCTGTGAAGGACAGGAGGTATCCCTGAAGAGCGCGAAGCAGGACACACTGGATGTGGGGTTGGGGACTGTGCGATGGAAGGTCAAGGGGGTGCGCCCCTCAGGGGTGCTGGTACTGGACAATGAGAAGGGGGCACAGTTGAAGGAGCACCAGCCGAACACAGCTGTGATCAGAGGGACAGGGCCTCAGCGTGCTGGTCCTGTGACCCGCGCTCAAGCTGCTCGAGCACGGGCACAGGAGGGGGCAGAGAGTGGCTGAGGCAGGACAGGAACAGAGAAGAGCAAGAAGGACAGAAGGAAGGGCAGATGGCTGGCAATAGCAGTTTTCCGACAGATGTCACCGAATATGCATGATTATGCATATAAGGTGCCAGAGTATGCGGTGTAGTTATGGTGTAGCAATGTTGAGTGTGCACATTGTAGGGCAGGTAGTTGGGGACCAGGGAAACTGACGCGAGGTGGGTAGGAGAGCACCGAGGGGTGGAATCCAAGGAACCAATGTGAACGAACCAACCCAGGCTCGAGCCGCACATTGAGAAATGCACGGTTCGAGCCTGGGCCAGGTAAATTCACTCTCTCACACACACCCGATGCTTTTCTCTTGTTATTCTCTCATATTAGTGGAAAGTTGTTACCTCAGATCTAGCATCCGGTGGCACGCCACTATGGGAGGACCTACGGGGTGAGGGAGGAAACTCTTTCATTTGAGAATGGCTGAGGCAGGACAGGAACAGAGAAGAGCAAGAAGGACAGAAGGAAGGGCAGATGGCTGGCAATAGCAGTTTTCCGACAGTACCTTCTGGCTTGTCCCCGTTGTCTCTCTGTGTGAGGGGCATTGGTTGCATCACATGCTCCCCTTCCCCCCCTTCCCCTTCCCTCTCCCCCTCCCCCTCCCCTCCCCCTCCCCCTCCCCCTCCCCCTCCCCCTCCCCCTCCCCCTCCCCCTCCCCCTCCCCCTCCCCCTCCCCCTCCCCCTCCCCCTCCCCCTCCCCCTCCCCTCCCCTCCCCCTCCCCCCTCCCCCTCCCCCTCCCCCCCTCCCCCTCCCCCTCCCCCTCCCCCTCCTCCTCCCCCTCCCCCTCCCCCTCCCCTTCCCCTTCCCCCCATTTTCCCCCCCAGCTCCGCGCCCTCTCCACTGTGTGGTCCACGCCCTCCTCCGTGCCACTGTGTGTAAGAGGCTTTAATTTGATCGCTCGGCATTCCCCACCTACCGCACCCCTGCCAATTTTTCCCTCACCCCCCTCCCCCTTCCCCCCCCCTCCCTCTCCCCATTTCCCCCCCCCCCCCCAGCTCCGCGCCCTCCCCCTCGCCTCTGTGCATAAAGGCATTTTGATTGCTGAACATCCCACCCCCCCACCTCCCCCTCCCCTCTTCCCCTCCGCCCAGCTCCGCGCCCTCTCCTCTGTGTGGTCCGCTCCCTCCCCCTTGGCGCTCTGTGCGTGAGGTGCTTTTGATTGCGCACACTTTCCCCTTCCCTTCCCCTCCCTTCACCCCGTTGTTCCCCCCAGCTCCGCGCCCTCTCCTCTGTGTGGTCCGCCCCCTCCCCCTTGGTGCTCTGTGTGCGGGGGCAGCTGGGGGAGACGAAGCTTCTGGGAACCAATCCACGACAGTTTGCCACTTTCACGCGCCTGCTCTCTTCTACCAGGTGTGCTGGCTCAGGTGTTTTTTCAGGTGGGTTTGTCAGGTGTTGTTTCAGGTGGGTGGGTGGCTCAGGAGTTTTTTCAGGTGTGCTGGTGTAGGTTCTTGTTTGCGGCAGGTGGTTCAGGTGGGGCCCAGACATCGGAGAGATCCCAACAGTCACGTGTGTGTGCCCATGCCCTTGAGGTGACTTTAGAGTCGACTCAAAAGTCACCCAGACATCGGAGACATCCCAACAGTCACGTGTGTGTGCCCTTGCACCGACTTTTGTTTGTTGTCCAACAGTCGTCTTACTCCCGGCGCTTTTTACATTGAAAGCATTCTCCTGAGGTTCAGGCACTCGTGTGTTGTGCGCCTCAAAAGTATGTCATATGCTGTAATACATGTGTGATGTCATATGCTGTAATACATGTGTGATGTCATATGCTGTAATACATGTGTGATGTCATATGCTGTAATACATGTGTGATGTCATATGCTGTAATACATGTGTGATGTCATATGCTGTAATACATGTGTGATGTCATATGCTGTAATACATGTGTGATGTCATATGCTGTAATACATGTGTGATGTCATATGCTGTAATACATGTGTGATGTATCCCTTGTGGCCGTTGAGCAGCAGTGTTGTGGTCTTCGTCTCCTCTCGCCCGGAATGGGATGCAGTTGCTAACACCAGTGCTACGGTGAATGGTATCTGAAAAGTTTTCTGAAACACCCTGCTCGCATCTCCTTTTTCACATGTATCCCGCTTGATTTTCGGGCAGTGTTGTGGTCTCCATCTCCTCTCGCCCGGTTTCCATCTCCTCTCGCCCGGTTTCGGACGCGGTTACCAACGCCAATGTCACGATGGCCGCAAGCGGCAGAGAAGGGGCGAGCAGCACACCAATGCACGCACATCGGAACTCTGGCGACAGTGAAACGAGCAGCAGAAGCAGCAGCAACACCAACAAAAGAAGTACTAACAGCAGTAGCAGCAACAGCAGCAGCGCCAGTGGAACGAGCAGCAGTATCAGCACCAGACGAAAAATCATCAGGAGTAACAGAAACAGCAGCAGCAGCAGCAGCAGAAGTAGAAAAAGTAGCAGCACAACCAGCAGGAGTGGTAGCAGCAGTAGCAGGAGTGACAGGGAGAGCAGCAGTGGCAAGTGGTGGGTAAGCAGCAAGAGGAGCAGAGATAGGAGGAACAAGGGCAGGAGGAGGAGAAGCAGTGGCGGGAGGAGCGACTCAAACTACAGACTGAGAAGGGGAGAGGGAGAGCGAGAAAGAGGAGGGGGGAGCAGAAGCAGCAGCAGAAAGAGACGGGGCCTCAGACGATTGCTCAGTGAGAAGGGGAGGGAGAGTGAGAAAAGTAGTGGACATGTTATTGACGGTGATGGTGATGATCTGCCTGGTATGATCAACGGTGGTGATGGTGAAGCACTCAATGGCCCTGGTGGTGACTTTGCTGCCCCTCATGGTAACATCCCCAACAGCATGAGAAACCAGTCTATAGAGTTAACAATTCTGCCTCTCCAGCAGAGTGAGGTGACTTTGACTTTCCAGTCGACTCAAAAGGCGCACATTAGCACTGCAAACCCGTTCAGAGCATCCCCTGTCTCGCTTTTCCGAAGCGAGGGAGAGGGCAGGCGGGAGGGAGAGGGCAGTCAGAAAGCAGCAGAGACCCCTTCCCCTTTCGAGAATTCTGAATGGGATGAACAGAAGCCAGCAGAGACCTCAGGCACCTGGGAAGCAGAGCTTCGTTCTCTCTTCCCCACCATCTCCATCCTCCATCGCCCTCCCTCCTGGTTGCAGCAATCGCAGCAAGCGGACAGCACGGAGCGGGAGAGGGGGGGGCAGGAGGATCAGGGTAGGGAAGGAGTTCAACGTGGGGAGGTGGCGAGGGAGGAAGAATACAAGCGCGAGGCCGAGGATGGGCTGCTGTGGCGGGTGGATGTGGTCAAGGTGCGTGCTTGGCTTGGAGGTGTGTAGAAAATGTGGGTAGTGAGACACGTTCGTGCGTGCGTGCGTGCGTGCGTGTGTTGTGCTTTCACGTGCGTGTGGCGCTTTCATGCATGTTGCTGCTATGTGCGTGCATGTTCTGATATATCTCATAATCCCGTGCGTGTGCATGTGCGTGCTTGCGTGCATGTGTGCGAGTGCATATGCGTGCGTGCGTGCGTGCGTGTGTGTGTGCGTGAGCGCGCATGTGTGTGTGTGCGTCTGCGACTGCCATACATACTCTCGCGCGTCTGTGTTGCCCCATAATGGGCTCTTCTTACCCACTGCTGAATGTGGACCATTTGGACCCTGCTGTCATTGCAACCTGGGCTACAGCCATGCTACTGCCATGCCATGACATCCATTGTGGGGCGACAAACGGTGATACGAACCCTGTCATGCCCCTCTCAATTGCCTGCTTGCTCCCCTGCAGGTGGATGTGGCTGATCTCGACCCTGCTCTTATCGCCGCCTGGGCTACTGCCATGCACGATGCATTGTCGTCAGGAAACACGCCACCACTACCATCATCACCATCACCATCACCATCACCACCATCACAACCAGCACAATCACCGCAGCCCCTACCATCGCCCGCACCTCGGCCACTCTCAGTGTGTCAGCTGCTCGTGTCGTTCCCCGTGGGCGAGGCAGCCACAGCAGGGAGACGGCAGATAGACGAGCAGTTGCAGCGAGCTGGCTTCCACCTGGCCTCCTGTGTCGGTTCCGTGCCTGACTGGGACCGCCAGTGCTGCTCCTACTTCCATGTGCGTAACTGTGTCCATTGAAGTGCACAAGGGAGGCAGCCACAGCAGCGAGACGGCACGTGGATGAGCAGTTAGAGCGAGCTGGCTTCCACCTGGCCTCCTATGTTGGCTCTGTGCCTGATTGGTACTTCCATTGCACAACTGTGTTGGACTAACGCTCACAGCATGCCTGCTCTGCTCATTGGTTCTAATCCATTCAATCTCAATCTGGCCACCCAGCAGGATTGCACACCCTTGCACATGCTAATCTATCACTTCATCTTCTTTTGCACAACCCATTGCGAGTACCGATGTTGATCAAAGATATTACTTACACTGGGACTGCTGCACTTATTGGTTTGCACTCAGGGAAAAATGTGGTACAGGAGGGGTGGTTCTCACATACCAATACAAGGATAAGTTAATGAAAACTTTCTAAGAGAAAGTAACGCCATCTATTTGTTTTCAGTACAGAACACTTGGTGATACGTGGAAGCTACTCTTGGTTCAAGGAAGCTACTAAGGTGATACGTTCTAAGATGGTGCGGCTGTCCTCTGAGCTGGTACATCCTCCTTTGTATGCTCCGCGTCACTCGCCTGTTGTGGCTGTTTCTGCGACTCTACATCAGACGCGGTGGCGGTTACAGTCTCTTGTCGCATGCGCATGCAGGTCCACGTGGTGTCGATAATAAAGAGGAGAAGCGTCAGCGCGAACAGCGCGAGGAGCACGATTCGAAGAATCTCGTATGCTTCCACTGCAATTGGGGAAAACGGAGAACATTGAGAACGGAATGAGGACGACATTTGAGAAAGTAGGCCTCCACTGCTAGGGGAGAAAACAAAAAATATTGTGAACGGAATGAGGACAGGTGTGAACGATGTGACGTGAGTTTCTACGATCGAAGGTTGTTACGGACGAATTACGTGGACGACTGCGGCCAGTCAGGCTTACTAGTTTCTGAGTGGCGCCGAGGAGGAACGTCGCCAACGTAATTCTTGCAATTGCGGTGGTGGTTATGACTGGAGAAACTCGAGACGAGGAAATTTGAAAAGTGGTCATCAGGTGAATCGAGATGTGGTTTTAGACGCTTGTTTTAGTTTGCAATATTGGACTCCCCAGGCAGAAGTCAGCGAATCGAAATAAAGCGGTTCCTTAAAGCTGACATACGGTATAACGCAATGGCGCAACCCTGCATATAAGTGAGAGACAGACGGGAAAAGGAGGGCATGATTTGGCTTTCTACAGAGAAGAAACGTGGTGACGAGAGAGGAACCAGCAGCTCTAAAGTGGGATGAGAAGTTGAAAGTAAGCAGAAGTGGAATCACGATAGGGGCCGGTTGCTTGTATGAAGTTCCGAGGTACAACTCTGGTTGCCGTACTTCGTGTTTTCGCAATGGGCTTCGAAAAACGGCCACTCTTCGCACTGCAAGCACACCCACACCATGTCTCGTTCCAGGTTTGGTTTCGCCATTCTTCGCATACATGGTTTGATTGTGGGGTGGTGGTGGTGGTGGTGGTGGCGGCGGCTCGGTGGGATGCGCAGCGGGACTTGCGGAGGCAGGAATGAAATTGAGCAAGGCGATGGAATTATTGGCAATAATTGAAATATCAGGCTGTATGCGAGGTTAGGGCGAAAACGAATGTAACTGCACGCTACAGGTGATAGCTTTCTCTTGTTTGTCATATGAACTGATTAGCTCATTACTCGCTCATAAACTCACACAAGAGCCAATGCAACTAAAAAAACAAAACATCCATCGAAAATTTGCATGCATGTTTCCACAGACTGTAGAACTCCATAAGGATGACTCTGGAAAAACAGGTCATTTTTTCTTCAGAGGATACAAATAGTCTAAAAAAGCAAATAGCAATCAATGAGCAACGGCTTCCCTGGAGGCGGTGCGAAAGTCCTCATCGCTGCGCCGGAAGATATACCACTTTTGCCCTGGACAGGACGACGCTGTGGAATATAACGCAAGACTAGGGTTCTAGATGATGGCTTACAGAAGAGATTAAAAATCGTGGTTCTCCACTTTTGCCTGCGTGTCAGTAACAACCCGCTTGTTATTTTTTCTGCTTTTTCGCATTGGCATGCATACACAGCCCCGCTAACCCTCATCCACGCACATACTACCGTACTTCTATAGCGCCAAAAATGTGCCAATTCCGATTTGTGAGAGATATACATGTTGGTGGTCGCCGTGCTGGTCACTCCCCTCCCCAACCCCACATCCGTACAAGCATTTACGAGCATCGTCCGTATTGTACAATCGCATCCCTTGTTCATCTCCTCCGTCTATATCAACCTAGGCATCAACCTAGGCAGGTACTTTCGCCGATTACGCCGCGGGGTTGGCGGGCTGCGGCGGAGGTTTCTGCGACTCGACGTCCACAGACTGGGCGACGGGGATTTCCTGCTCTCCGCGACTGCGACAGCAGTAGAGGATGAGGAAGATGAGGAATGCGACGTCTACAACGATAAATAATGTCAGCGCGACGATTCTGATGATAGTGGTGGACTTGTCCGCTCCGGGGTACACAAAAATCGCCATCTGCTGGCGGAGGTGTTTGGGAAAAATGCGAAGAAATAAATGCATGACTGGGCGACGAATCAGCAAAATACAGAGCGTTAAAATTGAGAAGAAAACCAGCAAAAAACAACGAAAGCAGTCGATAGAGAAAATCGTTATGGCTCTGTGACCGGAATCCTTGGTAATATAGCCAGAGGAGATGTCTTACCGAGGCTTGCCGTCACTATCTAGAATAGCCAAACGGAAGATATTGGTAATTGGTTGCGCTTTCTGGAGGATTCACGACGTCAGTACTTGACTTATATTAGTTCGCGTGAGCTCGCTGGTGCTATGGTAGACGGTGAGGAGAGCACCACGAGAAAACAAGCCTGATTGCAGGGTTTGGCCAAGTTTATATGACGAACTCTCGTAACAAGGCGTCGAAGCAACATTGAGTTGAGCGACCCTGATTTGCGAAACTAGAAAGCTTCTGTACAGCACACTAGGTGACGACGTGTGGTGGCGACGTCGTGATCTTAGGCGGTGTAGGGTGCAACAGAATTTCGTTAACACTCTGTAACACGGGAGCTCTGGCAAATGAAATGGCATGATATCCCGTGGTGGGACAGCGCACGATTTCCAGGTTTCCCCAAAGCTGGCGCGGTTCGGCTCGTCCTTGCCGTGTTTGACGGCGAAGGCCCCGTCACGATTATTTTTGGTAGAGAGTGGCTGAACCTCGGGAAATATACTGGAACCATTATATACGATTATCGGCCTACACTAGAATCAAAATTGCGGCTGATAACGAACCCAAAACTCAACTGCATTTTCGCACACCTGCTGGAAATTTAGGCTGTTCAGTCAGCTATGTGGCGGGATGAGCATTGCTAGCGCTAGGAGATAGAACCGAGTTTGTAACAACTGACCTCACTTGTCCTAAATTTCGTTGTTTCGCGCAAACAGACTGTACCAGCGAAAGTTACACAATAATATATTTCAATTAGGTATGGCGAAGGGTAACAAGGGTAAGCGAAGAGCGGCGCAAAAGAGACACGTCGCCGCGGGCGACTTTCTGGAAGAATTCCGGCGGCAATCCCTAGAGGCCGCAGAGGAACTTTCTCGGCTATCCCTAGAAGACGCGTCGCGGCAATCCCTAGACGCCGCACAGGCCAAAGCTAGCGAACCGGGTCCGAATGTCGCTGCCTCTCTAGCGAAACCCGCCGCTCGAACCAACGCGGGCAAACGTGGTGGTGATCTAGCACGGCATGGCAGCAAAACGGGCAGCCAAACGGGCAGTTTCCTCGTGGAGTTCCACTGCCACAGCACGTGCAGTGACGGGTCGCTTTCCCCAGCCCAGGTCGTCAAACGAGCCGCGACGCTAGGGGTGGGTGACACCTGGGGTAGCTAACACTGGGGCCTGTACTAGGATATCATAGGGCAGGTGACACCTCGGGAAAGTTGCGCTTGAGACCAACAGGCAGGTCGGTTTGCCAGCAGCTCAGAAGGGCCAGGCGAGCAGTCGGTGACTTAGGACTAGGCAACATGCTGGATAGGTCGCAACATTTTCTATGAGATTATCTCCCAAACTCGAAAACTGGTGCATTTTCTTGACAAGACCTTAAGCCCAAAACCCTGATGCATTTCCTAGACCAGACCCAACACTCGGAATTCTGATGCATTCTACCCCCCCACAGACATCATGGGGTATATGGCAGTGGCAACGACACCTCCCTCCCATCATACCCCTTCCCCAATCCATCTTCCGCCTTCCAATGCCATGCCGCCAGTGCTGTATCTCAGCTGACCATGGCATCATGGCAGGGGGTGGCGACAGCTGGTAAAGATTCCCCTCTCTTCCCGTCCCCACACGCTCTTCCCGTCCCCACACGCTCTTCCCGTCCCCACACGCTCTTCCCGTCCCCACACGCTCTTCCCATCCCCACACGCTCTTCCCGTCCCCACACGCTCTTCCCGTCCCCACACGCTCTTCCCGTCCCCACACGCTCTTCCCGTCCCCACATGCTCTTCCGCCTTCCACATTTCTCTCCCATGACAGCACGGCAGGTGCAAATATTTTTTCATTCAACCACCATCCACTCCCCCACGCCTCAGGTTCGGATACTCGCTCTAACAGACCATGACAGCATGGCAGGAGTGCCAGAGGCGACAGCAGCAGGGCGGGAGGTGGGAATGTGTGTGATTCCGGGGGTGGAGGTGAGTGCTTACTACGATTGCCACACCCCCAAAATAACAGGAGGGGGCGCTGTTGCAAACGGGAGTCAAGGAGATGGGATGGAAGAAGAGGATAGAGGTGTAGAGAGAGGTAAAGATGGGGGGGAAGGGATCGAGACGGAAGGAGAAGGAAGGAGAGAAGGTGAAGCAGAGGGGGTGAGAGAGGGGAGAGGTGGTCAAGGGGTGCATGTGTTGGCGTACTTTCCTCCCTTGGGGATGCGAGAGAGGTGGCAGTATGCACGGAGGGGCGAGAAGGGGGACAGATGTGGAGGGGAGGAGGGGAGAGAAGGGGAGGAGGAAGGAGAGGATGGGGAGGAGAGAGAGGAGGGAGGGGAGGGGGAGGGGAAGAAGCAGCGAGTCAGTGACGATGTGATTGGAGCAGAGGAAGAAGAGGAAGAGGAGGCACGAGACGCTCAGCGTGCATGCCCTGAGGGTGCACCGGGGAGCGCAGCAGAGGGCGCAGCAGAGGGCGCAGCAGAGGGCGCAGCAGAGGGCGCAGCAGAGGGCGCAGCAGAGGGCGCAGGGAGTGTAGTTGGGAGTGCAGGAGGGGAGAGCACGGCAGGAGGGAAGGGCACTGAGGGAGATGGACTCAAAAAGCTGGTGGGAGTGTTGGAGGGGATAAGGGAGGGGCGGCACAAGCGGGCGGCAGGCATGGTGCAGCGGCTGCAGCAGCTGGGCGTGGGTGTGACTATGGCGGATGTGATTCAGGTGAGAGAAGAGAGGGGGGGAGGAGGAGGGAAAGAGGAGAGAGATGATGATGTAAGGTGGATTTTGGTGAGCTGGGTGGTGTGCTAGCTAGAGCGACAGGTCAGCAGGCGATGTTGTTGTTACATTGAGAATTCTCAAAAGTTGGTTGAGCTGGGTGGTGTGCTAGCTAGAGCGGCAGGCCAGCAGGCGAGCGGGCCGGCGGGTGGGCGGGTGGGCGGGTGGGCAGGCAGGCAAGCAGGCGGGCATGGTGTAATGGCAGCAGTGGGATGGGCGTGGGTGTGACTATGGCGGATTTGCTCAGGTGAGAGGGAGTGGTAAGACGATGGTGATCCGTGAACCTTCAAGACGGCACCAACACCAGGCAGGGCGCACGTGGGGGTAGCAGAGAGGACCATTAGCCTATGTGATGACCCTCTCTCCTCCCACTTCCCCAACCTTTCCAAACTCCCACCCTTCATTTCCCTCACCAGCAACTCGACGATCCCAAGACGGCACCAGGCAGGGTGCACGTGGCAAGGGCGCTGGTGGCAGTGCGGGCGGTGGGGGATATGGAGGAGGCGTTTCAGAAGTATATAGGGGACCATGGGCCGGCGTATGTAAGGTGTGTGTGAGAGAGGAAGAGGGAGGAAAGAGGAGCGGACTCACAGTGGGGATGGCAGCGTGGGCAGTGGGGGCAGTGGGGGCAGTGGGGGCAGTGGGGGGCATGGAGGAGGCGTTTCAGAAGTACATAGGGGACCATGGGCCGGCTTATGTGAGGTGTGTGCGTGCGGTGAGGGAGGGGTATAGGGGTGCGGTGAGGGAGGGGTATAGGGGTGCGGTGAGGGAGGGGTATAGGGGTAAACACAAGCCGCAAAGCAGTGCGGTGCGGGGCGGGCAGTGGGGGGCATGGAGGAGGCGTTCCAGCGATGCATAACCTGAAAAGTGTGTGCGTGTGTGGGGGGCATGCATTCACTCTATGCCGGAAAAGCCTGTCACGGTGTTCCCTGGCCCACTTACCCACTCATTTCTTCCTTCCATTTCCCCCTTTATTTCTCTCTTCCTGAAGCGATTTTTGAGGCGCCTAAAAAAGTTCCTTCCATTGCCCCGATATCCCTCTCCCTGAGTCCATACCCGTTATATGAGAAGCAGGGGGGAGGCAGTAAGTGAGAAGCCAACACCGTTATTCCCTTCTGCCCTTTTTTCCACACCCATCTCTTCCCACAGGGGCTCCGAGATCCCATTGTCTGAGTCTATACGCGCTATAAGATATCCCATTGTCCTTCTGCCCTTTTTTCCACACCCATCTCTTCCCTTCCCTTCCCACGGGGGCTCCGAGATCCCATTGTCTGAGTCCAGTCCATACGCCCTATAAGATATCCCATTGTCTGAGTCCAGTCCATACGCCCTATAAGATATCCCATTGTCTGAGTCCAGTCCATACGCCCTATAAGATATCCCATTGTCTGAGTCCAGTCCATACGCCCTATAAGAGATGCAGGGAAGGCAGCAGTAACAGGAAGGACTTTCGAGTCGACTCAAACGTCACCCGCTCTTATTTTCCCCTCCCCACCCCATCATGCACACCCATCTCTCACCCCAGGGGCGCGGAAATCCCAGTGGCTGAGGCCATACGCGTCATAAACGAGGCAGGGGGGGCGGCAGTGCTGGCGCATCCGTGGACTATACCGGAGAGCGCTCTAAGGGGGATGCTGAAGCGGGTGGCGGGCGCTGGGCTGGTGGGCATGGAGGTGTACCGCGGGAAGGAGATCCAAGAAGGTGGGTTGTAAGGGCCTTGACTCCTCCTCATGATGTTCAAGGTGGTGGGTGCTGAGTGCTTTGGAAAGGCATTGGCGGGCGCTGGGCTGGCGGGCTTGGAGGTGTATTGAGGTAAGGAGATCCCAGGAAGGTGGGTGAAGCTAAGGTTTGCACCCGAGACATCAAAGCCCACTGGGCTGGTGCTGGGCTGTTTATGGCTTGGTTGGTGGGCACGGAGGTGTATTGAGGAAAGGAGATTCAAGAAGGTGGGTGCTATGGGCCTTAACTCCTTTTCATGATTTTCTACAAGGTTGGCGCTGAGTGCTCTGAAGCGGGTGTAGAGAGAGTTTTATTGAGACGTCTTGAAAACACCCTCTCTGCTCGTGGATTTTCTAGAAGGTTGGCACTGAGTGCTCTGAAGCGGGTGGCGGGCGCTGGGCTGGTGGGCATGGGGGTGTGTCGAGCGAAGGAGATGCAGGAGGGTCGGTGCAGGGTGTTTTGTCCCTAAGATTCGAAAGGGTGGGCTGTGGGTGTTTTGCCTCCCGTTGATGATTCCCCTAAGCTGGTGGGCATGGGATGGGGGTGTGTCGAGCGAAGGAGATGCAGGAAGGTGGGTGCTGGTGCCGAGGGGGGTGCACTTGAGGCATCAATAGCGCTGGTGGGTTGGTGCGTTGGTGGGTGGCCCTAAGCTGCTGGTGGGCATGCAGGTAGGTGTAGCAGGAAAGTTTTTTCAGTCGGTTCATTAGTCACCTCAGAGAGGTGTACCTTGGGAAAGAGATCGAGGAAGGTGTGAAGGGCTGCCTCACCTCCCATCATTGTACTGCCGCCTGGCAAATGCACACGGGCTGCTGTGCAAGGTCGGTGGGTCGGACTTCCACGGGGCAGGAAAGCTTTTCATAGGATGCGACTGAACCTTTATCTCCTCTTTTCCTCTCTACCACTTCCCATTGACCCCTCCAATCCAACTCTTCCATCCACCCGTCCCACCACCATTAGAGTACAGCCCGTTGCTGCTCAAGATCGGTGGCCTGGACTTCCACGGGGCAGTGAAGGTCGCCAAGAAGGGGAATAAACCCCTCTCCTCCCTCTTCCTCTCTACCACCTCCCATCCATCCCTCCCATCCACCCTCCCACCACCATCAGAGTATTGCCGCCTTGCCAACGCGCACGGGCTTTTGAAGATCGGCGGGTCGGACTTCCACGGGGCGGCGAAGCTCGCCAAGAAGGGCGGCGTGGATCTGGGCGGCTGCGAGCTGCCTGCTCTGGCCGTGCAGCGCTTCCTGGAAGCTGCCGGAAGGAACTGGCGTGCATGCTGACTAAAGTATTCTGTTCACTACAGAAACATATCATGTTGAATATATTACCACATAGGCCACAGTACAATGCATCACTCTGATGCCTACGACAGCATGCTGCCGATGGTACAGTGTAACAGTGACGGTACAGTGTAACAGTGACTAAATGCTAGAATTCCTTTCCATCTGTTGGACGAGAACCATCATTCCTTTACGCTTGGCGAAGCTCGCCAAGAAGGGCACTGTGGATCTGGGCGGCTGCGAGCTGCCTGCTCTGGCCGTGCTGCGCTTCCTGGAAGCTGCGGGGAGGAACTGGCGCGTGTGCTGGTTACAAAAACATATATCAATGCTTGAAAATGTTGTTCTATTCCAATATTTTGCACTATCTATAAGAGCACGTTCTTTGAGAATGATTTTTTTCAGTTAATAAATTTATTATCATTTGCCTGCTTCGTATTTTATTGTCGAGTATATTGTTCTTTCTGGCGTAAAAAAGGTAATTCTTGTTTATGGTAAGTATCATCCCCAATGTAATGTAAGGTGTCTCTGGTGCCCAAGTGTACAGTTTGTTGTGATCAATGTTGTTTCGGCGTTTTCATTAGCGGCTGTTTCCTTACGCAGAAGCAAGATTCAATATGGTGTCCTTAGTCAGCCCAGACATCCCGATAGCCAGCTAAACGCGTGTCCTTCGCTCCACGCATCGCATCCGTCCGATTACCGTGGCGTCGCGTTTCCCCGCGATCTGCTGCCGTCGCGCCTTAGCTCACGCAACCGGCAGTCGTCCCGATCAATCGCGGCTCGGCTTTAGGGGGTTGAATTCCAGTTTCCCGCCATCATGTCGTGGTGTACGATCGAGTCGGATCCAGGTGCGTGCGTGGATTAGTAGCTTCGCTCGGTGCTTGGCTCGGTGCTTGGCTCGGTCCTTGGCTCGGTGCTTGGCTCGGTGCTTGGCTCGGAGTGTGGCCCCGTTCTTGGCGTAGTGCTTGGCCGGGAGCTTGGCTGGGTTTCTGGCTGGGAAGGTGACCTGCGGAAGAGGACACCAGTTAGGTGCCATTGAATTCGATACGTGGCAGCAACTTAGGATTCAACACCAGTAGTTGTTGGTAGTGCTTGGCCGGGAGCTTGGCTGGGTTTTTGGCTGGGAAGGTGACCTGCGTGGTGAACTCCCTTCGCCAGTGTAACTCGGTGCCTGGCCTCACTGGATTCCCTCTTCTACTCATTCGCTCGCACTTGCAATGCTGACCCCTTTGCCCGCGCCCCCACTCTCTTCCCCTTTGCCCCCGCCCCCTTCACTGGATTCCCTTCCCTCTGCTACTGATTCGCACTTGCAACGCTGACCCCTTTGCCCGCGCCCCCACTCTCTCCCCGCAGGGTTGGTTACGGAGCTAGTGCAGCAGATGCAAGTGTCACCAGCACTTCTGATTTCCCCACTCTCTCTCCACTCTCTCCCCACTCTCTCTCCACTCTCTCTCCACTCTCTCTCCACTCTCTCTCCACTCTCTCTCCACTCTCTCTCCACTCTCCCCCCACTCTCTCCCCACTCCCCCCCACTCTCTCCCCACTCCCCCCCACTCTCTCCCCCCAGGGGTGTTCACGGAGCTGATGCAGCAGATGCAAGTGAAGGGTGTGCAGGTATGGGCGTGCAGGTATGGGCGTGCAGGTATGGGCGTGCAGGTATGGGCGTGCAGGTATGGGCGTGCAGGTATGGGCGTGTAGGTATGGGCGTGCAGGTATGGGCGTGCAGGTATGGGCGCGCAGGTATGGGGCGTACAGGTATGGGCGTGCAGGTATGGGCATGCAGGTATGGGCGTGCAGGTATGGGCATGCAGGTATGGGCGTGCAGGTATGGGCATGCAGGTATGGGCGTGCAGGTATGGGCATGCAGGTATGGGCGTGCAGGTATGGGCATGCAGGTATGGGCGTGCAGGTATGGGCATGCAGGTATGGGCATGCAGGTATGGGCATGCAGGTATGGGCATGCAGGTATGGGCATGCAGGTATGGGCGTGCAGGTATGGGCATGCAGGTATGGGCGTGCAGGTATGGGCATGCAGGTATGGGCATGCAGGTATGGGCGTGCAGGTATGGGCATGCAGGTATGGGCGTGCAGGTATGGGCGTGCAGGTATGGGCATGCAGGTATGGGCGTGCAGGTATGAGGCATGCAGGTAACTTTTCATGCTCATCCATTTTCCCTCTCCTCCCCTCTCACTCTCGCACTTACTCATGCTGTCACTTACTCCCTCACTTTCTCACATCCTCACTCACATCCTCCCTCACTCACTCCCTCACTCCCTCTCAGGTGGAGGAGCTATACAGTCTGGATCTAGACGCCCTCAAACAGCTCAGGTACTTTCAGGTGAACTCTCAGGTGTCTTTGTGTACCACCAGGTGAATTATCAGTCGCAGCACCTGCTGGGTAAACACTGTTTACTACTCTACACGGCCTTACCCATTGATTTCCTATCATGGTCCAATCACAACCTCTTTCGCCCCCTCTTCCACTCCTTCCGCCTCCTCCTCTGCTGCCCGTTGCACGGTTGCAGCTTGCTTCTCAAGTGAAGGCAAGACGGTTCTAAGAGTTCGATAGTTTTCTGTCTGATCCCATTTTATCGCCCATTGGTTCGACTCAAGAATCAACTCGATTCCATCACCTTTACTGCTCTGCCTCCCCCTCCCCACGCTCTTCCCCCCAGCCCCGTGTACGGTACGGGCTCAAATTCCTCTTCAAGTGGTATCCAGGCAACTTGTGAGCCGACGCAAACCTGACTTTCCATAACCTTCCCTCTCCCTCCCTCTCCCTCCCTCTCCCTCCACACCAGCCCCGTGTACGGGCTCATATTCCTCTTCAAGTGGCGCCCGGGCGAGCTGGACACACGCCCCACAGTCGCCGACTCTGCTGCTCCAGGCGTGTTCTTTGCCAGCCAGGTGGGGGTGGGATGGTGTGGAGAAGGGTATTAGGAAAGGGTGCTGCAAGGTGTGTAGATGGTCCTGGCAAGCGGGCGAGCTGGACACACATGTCCCACAGTCGCCGACTCTGCTGCCCCAGACGTGTTCTTTGCTAGCCAGGTGCGTCTGGGTGGGTGCGGCACGGGAGAGGGAGGGGGGGCGGGAGCGGTAGAGGGAATTAGCCTTTCGCTTGCTTGCAGCACTGCAGCAGTGCAGGTGTGAGTGCTGAGCCGAGCTGATAGTATGGTTGTTCGATATAGCATGATTGGAATGGAACAGAATGTACTTTCTACCTGTCACTTGTATGGACTTTCTGGTAAGAAGTGGTTTGTTTGTCAAGTTCAAGAATGGAGCAGCAGCTTACCCAAAAACTGCATTGTCATTAATAACCTTTCTCGTTTCTTACTTCACACACTCCTCCTCGGCCTTCCCTGCTCAGGTGATCAGCAACGCGTGTGCGACCCAGGCGATCATATCAATCCTCCTAAACGCATCCAACCGCATTGAAATTGGTCCAGAACTCTCCACACTCCGCGATTTCACGCGCGACTTTCCCCCCGAGCTGAAGGGACTGGCGATCAACAACAGTGAGGCGATCCGTGCCGCCCACAACAGCTTCAGCCGCCCGGAAGCCATAGTAGCTGCTGAGGAGGCCCGGGCGGCAGAAAAAGACGACGACGTGTATCATTTCATCAGCTACGTGCCGATCAATGGGGTGCTGTATGAACTGGACGGGCTCAAGCCCGGACCTATCCGGCTTGGGGAGATTTCAGGCTCGGGAAAAGGTTCGGGTGGTGATCCAGGAGAGGAAAAAACAGACGTGAAACCAGAGGGAGGCATGGAAGGGGGAGAAGGAGGAGGGGCAGGAGCCAAGGGGGGGAACAAGGAAGGCAAGAGGGAGGGGGAGGAGGAGGATGACATGGCATGGTTGCGCATGGTGCAGCCGGTGATTCAGCAGCGCATTGACAAGTACGCAGAGAGTGAGATCCGGTTCAACCTCATGGCTGTGGTGCGCAACAGGAAGGAGGCGCTGGAGGAGCGGCTGGGGGCTCTGAGGGCACGGAAGGAGGGGCTGTTGGGGGAGATTGAGCGGCGAGGGGGAGGGGGAGGGGGAATGGAGGTGGATGGGGGCGATGGGGCGTTGGAGGGGGAATTGGCGGAGATTGAGATGCAGATTGCGCACGTGCAAGGTGGGTGAGACCCCAGTTGTGGCGCCTTATAAGGGAAGAGGGATGGAGAGGCCTGTGCAAGGTGAGAGATGGTGAGGTGCGGAGGCAGTGCAAAGTGGGAGGCGGGGAGGTAGTGCAAAGTGGGAGGCGGGGAGGCAGTGCAAAGTGGGAGGCGGGGAGGCAGTGCAAAGTGGGAGGCGGGGAGGCATGTGCAAAGTGGGAGAGACTTGTTTTGCAGCCTATCGTTGTGTGTGTGTGTGTGTGTGTTTTTTTTAGCTTTTCAACCTTCCCCACCGTCTCCCCTCTTCCCCCCCTCCGCACTGTCTTGGCAGATTCAATAACAGGTAAGGAGGAGACATGGAGGACGGGAAACACTCTCGTTTATATAAATCCTTTTGAACCCTCCCCCCGACCCCCCCCCCCTCTCACCACCATTGTTTTCCAGATTCGATAGCAGGAGAGGAGGAGAAGTACCGGCGGTGGCGGACGGAGAACATTCGCAGGAAGCACAACTACATTCCCTTCCTCTTCAACTTCCTCAAGATTCTCGCCGAGAAGAAGCAGCTTCGACCATTGATTGAGCGAGCAAGGCAGCCCGCCTAGATGGGTGCAATGTTGTAGGCATTGGTGCTACTATCGTCTGCATATAAAATGAGTTTGCTTACTTTCAACCGCTTTAGAGGTCTGATTCTTGATCATATACCGCACGCCATCAAGACCAGTAGCATCCTACCAAAGCAGTGACCAGGTCGTAACATAACGACCGTTCTCTACACTTGCGGTCAAATCAATGTGCGGTGTAGTCTGCATGACTTTACACTACGACGAAGCACTCCCATTGGGCCATTCTGATTTGGGATTCTGGTCATGCACGGTACACTGTGGTACGGTGCGATTCTGTGTGGTAATGTTGCGGCGTCTGCTTCCTCCTCATCCACAACATGAATGAGATCACCTAGCTCTAGGCTCGAAAATCCCAAAAACCAAATCCCGTTGCCAACTAGTTTCTGAGCCCTCCATACTGACCTCTCTAGACATGGAAGCAATGGTCGATTCCAACCAGGCGGTAGAAGCCAGCGCTATAGAGTCAGCTTCGATCCATCAATTGTCGGACGATCTGCTCGGTCGAATCTTCAGCTACGTTGCACCGACGCCACGTGTCGACTCCTCAGCTCCCCATCCGCAGCAGCAATCTCGTGGTCAGAACTCAGGGTTTGTGTTTCGCTACGTCGAATCAGAAAAAAATCGGCCGCTTTTCAGTCCACCGAGCATAGACTTGAAGCCCTTATGGCGGTCGAAATCGAATCTTCTGGGTAGCTTCATTCTCGTCTGTCGCCATTGGCACCGCGTCGCATGCGCGACTCGATCGCACGTCGCACTGTCGCAGAACCGTCGGCTGTGCACCGGACGTTTCTTGAAAGGTCTCCCTTCGTTCCCGTCGCTGAGATCGCTCACCCTGCCAAACGGCAGCCTCTCATTGGCCAACGATCATTTCTTGACCCAGCTAGTGCCACGTGTCCATCCCTCGTTCAACTCCACCTGGGGGACATGGGCGAGCCGCGATTGCTTCCTAGTCTCAGAGGCATTGCGACGAAAGGGCCTCAATGGGATCCCCGGGTTTCTTTCACTGCTGCCGGGCTGGCGGTTTTTTTCTCCTCCTGCCCGCGGCTCGAGTCTCTGCAGCTGCACTGCCCGCCTAATCTGACCCGCCTCCCTCCGTCAATCTGCGAGTTACATCACTTGACGGCGCTGGTGATCACTGGGTATGGACTGAGGCGCCTTCCTGACGGTTTCTGTCAGCTCTCCGCTCTCGTCCGTCTATCTATTCGCTCGGAATCCCTGTCGAAACTTCCAGCCTGCTTTTCAACGGGAACGGACGTTGACGGAGGTCGTTCTAACCAATCAGACAACTATTCTGACGACGAATGGTCGTCAGACGAGGACTTCAGTAACAGCGACTCAGATCAGTAGAACAAAGCTTCGTCGATTCTTCCAGTCACCTCCCTCCCGCTCCCACACAACCCCCCTACTCCCCCACCTCGTCTCTCCACACTCTCCTCCCTCCGCCACCTTTCCCTGACCCGCCATTTCCTCCGCTCCCTCCCCGCAACCCTCCCCGCCGCGCTCCCCCTTCTCGAGTCCCTCGAGCTCCGCGAGTCCTATTATATTTCCGCCATTCCCCTGCGCCTCCCCGCGCGCCTCCCCCGCCTCCGCGCGCTCACCCTCGGCTATCTCCCAAGCCTGCGCGCTTCGCTGCCGGCGATCCTCGCCGCTGATCCCCCTCCCGCCGCAGAAGCCGCCGCTCCCCCGTCCGGGGAGACCGCAGCCGTAACAGAAGCCGATGGAAACTCTGGGGGAATTCTGGAACGGGGCACGGAGGAGGCTTATAGCGGGGCTGATCGTAAGGAGTACGCGGAGGGGTTATGCCAGGGATTAGAATGTCTGGAGTTATTCAGTTAGGGACAACTCAGCGAAATCTCAGGGAGCACTCTCGCTGCCTTATCTCCGTCCCTGGCCCACCTCACTCTAGCGGACTGCTCCTCGCTCTCCTCCCTCCCAGACGAGCTCTCTCTCATGCCCAACCTCCGCTCCCTCACTCTCTCCAGCCTCCCACGCCTCTCCTCACTCCCCTCCTCCCTCCACCTCCTCTCCCACTCTATCCGCGACCTCAGCATCATTTCGTGTGACTCCCTGCAGGCGCTTCCCTGCTCCCTCACGCTTCTCTCCTCGCTTTCTTCCTTGCACCTTTCCGGCTGTGCCTCTCTCACCACTCTCCCTTCTCCTCCTCTTCCTTCACCACTCAGTGAAGCGACTGCAGGCAGCCACAGCTCCTCCCAGGAAGCAACAGCTCCTCACCTCGCCACCGGCGTTGCCACCAACAGCAGCAGCAGCAGCAGGGGCAGAGGCAGATCTCCCATCCTGGTGTTCCTTCCTTCGCTCACAAGGCTGCGTGTGTGCCGCTGTAAGCGCCTGTCAGCCCTGCCCCATGCCTGGCAATGGCTGCCGTTGCTGCAGCATCTGGAAGTGGACTACAACGCTCGTATGGAGGCACTCTTTGAAGGGGATAATACTGTTCATGCCGCCATGATGCCTCCTTGCCACACTGCGTCGGAGGCTGACGTGTCTCCTCCCCCCCCCCTCGCCGCCTCCTCCCTCCTCCCCCGCCCCTCTCCCCTCTCTCCGCTCCCTGACCATCTCGCAATGCGTCCGCCTCTCCCTCCTCCCGTCCTTCCTCTCCCGCCTCACATCCCTCCACCACTTGACCCTGTACCGACTCTCTTCCCTCAGCCGCCCGCCGCCTCAAATCACTCCCAACGCGGCTGCTACAGCCAGCCCTGCTGCTACAACTGACTCTGCTGCTTCAACCAACTCTGCCGCTACATCCGACTCTGCTGCTACTACAGCCGACCCTGCTGCCGAACCTGACATTCCTACTGTTTCCGGCACGGCCACTGTGACTGGTGCTGCGAGGATAACAGGCGAAGATGGTTCTACCGGCATGGTCGTGATAACCGGCACTGTTTTTATACGCGGTATTGCATTGTTGGCTGGTACTGCCACCATAAGCGGCACTGCTACTATATCAGGTCGTGCAACCATTTCTAGTGCCGCTGGTGCAATCGGCACTGCAGACGTACGGGGCACCGCTGATGTAACCGGCACGGCTGATTTAACCGCCGCTGCCGATGTAACCGGTACTGCTAGTGATGCAATGACTACGAATATGACAGGCGATACCAATTCTGAGAGCAGTTCTGCTGGCGCCGACAGCCAGACACCGGTGCTAAGGGCACCCCTCGATGGGAGCCCTATAAGAGCAATTAGCTCTGCTGCTGCTGTTGCTGCTGCTGGTGCGGGTGCTGCTGTTGCTGGTGCTGATGGTGCTGCTGTTGCTGGTGTTGCTGCTGCTGCTGCTGCTGCTGTTGCTGGTGTTGATGGTGGTGGTGGTGCTGCTGCTGTTGCTGCTGCTGATGGTGCGGCTGCCACTACTGCTGCTGCTGCTGCCGCCGAAAACGCCTTGCTTTCCACCTCTGCTGAGCCGGCCGCGCTAGAGGGGTTGAGTGCGGTGACGTCGCTGCGGGCACTTCACATCAACCTGTGGCACAACCCCCACATCACACACCTTCCGCCTTCCCTCTTCTCACTCTCCTCCCTGGCCACCCTCACTCTCTCACATCTCGTTAACGTCTCCTCCATCCCGGAAACCCTCTCTCTCCTCGCTCCCTCCCTCACTCACTTGCACATCAGTCATTGCCCCATGCTCTCTTCGCTCCCCTCCTCGCTCTGCCTTCTTTCCTCTCTGGAATGCCTTCATATCGAAGGTTGCAAGTCACTGGTAGCTGTTGTGAAAGAGATTCCAGGAGAGGAAGGCACGGAGGAAGAGGAGGAGCAGGAGGAGGAAGTTGAGGAGGGGAATGGTGGGGACGAGGAAGAGGATGAAAGGGATGAGAGGGCCAAGAGGAACGTGTGGGACAAGTGGGATGAGGAGGGCGATGAGGTGGAGGAGGGGAGCGAGGGGGAGGAGGGGGATGAGGAGGAGGAGGATGAGGAGGAGGATGAGAAGGAGGAGGATGAGGAGGAGGGGGATGAGGAGGAGGATGAGAGGTTGCCAGCAGCAAAGAAGCAGAGGATTGATTCAGTAAGATCAGCATGTGAACGCCAATCAAGGCACTCCATGGCCACCATGCATTCGTTACAGTCACTCTCCATAAAAGAATGTGAATCCCTCAGACGCTTGCCTGCAACCATCGGCCTTCTACCCCGCCTGACCTCCCTCCACCTCTCACAGCTAGATAACCTCAGAGCTCTACCACCCTCTCTTCCCCTCCTGTCCTCCCTCACCTCGCTCGATCTCTCTTCCTGCAATCGCCTTCCTTCCCTCCCCTCTACGTTTGACAACCTCTCCAGTCTCCATACCTTGAAACTTTCTAACCTTCCCAGACTTGCGGACTTGCCACAATCTTTCAGGCAGCTGCCTCGCCTAGAGCGATTAACCCTGCAATATTGCGACCTGCTCCGCGAGCTACCCAGTTCTTTTCCCTATCTTCACCGCTTATCGGAGCTCGTGATCGAAGAATGCGGGAATTTCAAGCATTTGCCGACCAATATTGGGCTGCTCTCGTCACTTGAGTGGCTATAGCTGACTACCCTGCCAAGAATGACGGAGTTACCCAGGTCCTTGAGGCGATTGCGAAGGCTCTGGCAGGTGGAGATTAGGTGCTGCGGTTCAATTAGAGTTGTTCCAAAGTTGATTTGGGCCTGATAGTTTCTGTGCGGAAGGTTAGAACACCCTAGGAGTGCTTGCTGGAAGGGGTCGGAAGTGGAGGGAATATGTGTAAGGAAGAAGGGTAGGGGTGCTTGGGCAGAGTGGGATGCAATTTTGTTGTGATCTTTACCATACTACTATTTGGACACATGCATTTTTGTTTCTGCAACATATATGCGCAGGTGCTACACATTTATTTGTTCAGTATGCAACAATCATCGTAGCAATTACTGAGCGGCCTATGATTTATACCAGAGATGTTTCAAGCCTCCATAAATGAGAGTATATTCTGGGACTATCCTATATAACTAGTTTTCCCGACGGGCTTGTGGTGAATAATAGCTAAAAGCGGGTACAGAAGTTTGGTGGGATGTTTGCCCGCAGCTGGTTTGCCCTTGAATTTTGGAATCAGGTGCTTTGACGAATCTTCCCGCGTTTCAAAGTTGTCGCTGATTCGTTGTTGCCTCCTCGCCATCGCCATCTGTGGTGACACCGCGGCGCCACGCCACCAACCACGAGAAAGCTCCACCCCACACCACACAGATCCTCCGCCAGCACCTGCTGTGAATTATAGCCGCGCAACTCTTGCACCTCCACGCGACACTCCCAGCTCTGCGCAAGTCCAGCAGCACCGTGCTCAAGTCCAGCGCTGATTGCTGCGTGAGCACCTCGCATTCTTCTTGGCTGGTGGATGATTGCACCTTGGGCTTGGGCATGCCGTGCCATGCCGTTCCAAAGCCAGTCCCTTGGTTCCTCCAACCAAGCCATTCCCTTGGTTTCTGAAATTCTGGAAAGCGCGGAGTTTTGCAAGGGGCACCTTTTTGCCGTATGTATCTCTGCTTGGCTGGGAAACTCAGATATTCGGATACTGCACACACAGTCAAGGAGGAGAAATTCAGGCAGGCATAGGCCAGAGGATCGGAGGTTCCAAGGTTCCTTGAAAGGGAAGATAGGTCAGGCTGGGACGATAATTCAGTCATCCAACCCGTGTCTCCAGCTTCACTCTTGAAGTGTGGTGATTCTTATCCAGACCAGCATTCCTGTTCTGGATCCGCATCCCTCCAGGGTGCATTGTGCAGCAGCTTCAGTGTCCCACCTCAGAGCGCTTCCATAGAAATTCCTTGGGAGTTTTTATTGACATAAATCGACTGAAATTTAAGCGTCAGGAAGCATGGGTGTCCCAGTTCCGGCGCTATGCACGGGATTCCGCGTCTGGCAGTATCCCGACCAGCTGCTACTGGAGCCGTTGGATGCGTCCACCAGCTGCCTCGCCATCAGCCGATCTGACGGCAGCCTGAGCGTCGGAGGTACAGCCACTGACACATGGATGTAGACCTTGGTGACAAGCCTGCATATTTCGGCCATTATCCTGTCCAGCCACTCCCTCAATGAGCTTACCAAATTTCGCTTAGAGAGAACGACGCCGGCGGTACTGTAGTTTCGGGTGATCTAGGCCCGTTTCCTTGCAAAAGTTGGCTCTCAGCAGCAGCTGGGCTTGCTTCAAGAAATGCTGCATTCTTATACGCAGATCTCTCGCGTTTTACTTGATAGCGTTGGCAATGCGAAGGCGACAGTTTGGATACCAATGCCTAAGGGAACCGCTCACTTTCCGGTAGCAAAAATGACGGAATCGGTTCTTGGCGAAGGAGAGACGGAGCGGATTGTGCGCGTTAGAGTTTTGAAAGTCTTTGCAATGCGAACGGCGGAGATTCGGCAATCCGTCAGGCTTTGGTCGGTACATCCAACAGCCTGTTGCGTGCGATCTGCGAGATTGACAGCTGGCAGATAGGGGCGACATGTGATGTTATTCCTCGCATGGCATTCCAGTTGCTTATAGCATTGCCTTCGCTTGTGTATGACCTGAATTGCGCACTTTTTCGAATCTCATCAGCAGCTGCATGCGCGTGCCCATGTGCTATACGAAGGCCAGATGTCCGTTAATTTCTCAAGTTTCGCATTATTACATCTTCGTGGCGGCTCGTGCATTTCTCCGTCTTGTCTAGTCTCACAAATTAAACCTCGCTACACACATTCAGACGAATGTGCCTCTGTTCCCCGTGTTTCCTCCGCTCCCTGACGTCTCAGGCAAGCCGTCGCTCTCCGGAACGGTCGCCTTTTGAGTCGACTCAATCTCCACCCCCGTCCCCCGTGTTTCCTCCGCTCCCTGACATTTCAGGCGAGCCATCGCTTGCCGGAACGGTCGCAGAGCCCAAGTCGGCGTGCCTTCTCCTGGGCTTCATCGAGCTGCTTGCAGGTGGGTTGGCGTGTTTTCACCCGTTTGCACACTTTTTACCCGCAAAGTGCTCAGTCTGCCCAATCGCGTCCACCCCTCTCCCCTTCCCTCACCCACTCCCGGTTCCTCTCCTCTCTGTTCTACTCACTTTTCTGCCCTTTACTGTTCTCCTCACTGTTCGCCCCTCCACTGTTCTCCATCAGGCACGTACGTGCTGCTGGTGACGAACCGGCAGCTCGTCGGCGCCTTCAAGGGCGCGCACGTGTTCCGAGCTACGGCTTTTGATATAGTGCCGTGCTGCTCCAAGGACTCCCTCACACCAAAGCAGGTGCGTGTGTGCATTTAACGAAAGGGAAGTGTAAGTGTAACAGGAGCAGAGTAGTGAGTGAGGGATGAGAGTGCAAGTCAAACAGAGAAAAGGGGGCGAAGAGAGGGAGGATGTGAGTGGAAAATATGCAAATGTAAGCTAGACCAGGCTTTCAGTTTGATGCGTGGGGTACTAGAACTGTTGCATAGAATAACATTTCTGCTTGATTGGCGGCTGATTGACAATGTTCTTTGCGCTTCCAACCTCTATACATGGTCGATACTGCCCAACATGCCAATATCCCCCAGAAAGCGGACGAGGAGGAGTGCCTTGTTCGCCTGCGCCATGCCATGTCAGCTATTGGCCTTTTTGGGAATTCTTAAAAGTACCCTCTGCATTGTATGCCCATCATGCACCCATCATGCCGTTATCACCCTGAAAGCGGACGAGGAGGAGTACTTCGTTCGCCTGCATTCACCCATGTCAGCTCATGGCCTTATTGAGTATTCTAAATAATACACTCTTCATTGTATTCCCATCATGTACCCACCATGTACCCGTCATGCCGTTATCCCCCTGAAAGCGGATGAGGACGAGTACTTCGTTCGCCTGCATTCACCCATGTCAGCTCATGGCCTTATTGAGTATTCTAAATAATACACTCTGCATTGTATTCCCATCATGTACCCACCATGTACCCATCATGCCGTTATCCCCCAGAAAGCGGATGAGGAGGAGTACCTTGTTCGCCTGCGCTCCGCCATGTCAGCTCACGGACTCTTCTTTTCCTATGGCGCTGACATCACCACCAGGTGTGCTGACGCCATCATCCGTATTGATATGACTCAATAAGCCACAAAACTGCACGCTCCCCTTTCTTCGATTCTGTCATGTTCGCTTTCATTCCTTGGTGCGTTTGGGTTCTGCATCCCAAAACGTTTGCTGTGTGTGTATGTAGGCATAATCTGTGTTTCTGTGTGGCTTATGCATAATCGAGGCGCATTGTGCTCCACTGATCAGATCGTAATGCAGCTGCGAAAAAGCTCAATCTCTGAGTCACGTGAGAAGCACCATCACCTATGCTCTGTGATTGTCTGTCAGAATTATGATACGTTTTCTCTGTGTCTGTGTCTGTGTCTGTGTAACAATCTGGAACATAATGACATGCATGCAGCCTACAGAGGGAGGCTCTAGCTGAACCTGCTGGACCAAAGCCCCTGTGGAAGCAGGTAAGCTGCACTGCACTGCACTGCACGTACCAAGCAGGTAAGCTGCACTGCAATGCACTGCACTTCACTACGTATACCAATGCAAGCAGTTATGTGACCCCGGAAATGGAACTGCGTGTTACCTCCAATCAGTGCATTTGTCGCCTTGGCATGCATATTGCTGATGTATTCACTGCTTGACCCACGACACACCCACGTGATTATGTGTGTGCTCACATGTGTGCACACGCACGCACGTGTGTGTTGTGTGTGTGATCGCGAGTTGCTCATCCATGCCTGCTTGGTAATACATCCACATGCGTTTTACTCTGTGTGTGTGTCGTGTTACGTGAGGTACGTGCTGGAGGGGGTATTACGAGCAGGTGGACGACTCTCTCCTTTTGAAATTTCTAATAAGTGTTTTTGTGTGCTGTGTGTTGTGTTATGTTGCGCGATGTTATGTTATGTGCGATACATGGGTAATAATACTACCACAAGCAGGTGGACGACCGTTTCTTCTGGAACCTGCATCTCCAGCAGCGAGCCGTAAGCTTCCCCGAGGTGAGCATCAGACTGTTCTCAGCTTTGATAAGTCCCAAGGTCAGCAATCACCTGTTTGTCTTCGATATGAGCTGCTCCAAGGTAAGTATGCAGTGGTTCCCGTGAGACACCAATAAAGCCCCAATGTTCCTTCCATGTCCACCCTCTCTGGGTTACACCAGCTGCCTCACACCAGCTGCCCCACACCAGCTGCCTTGCTTCCAATGTCCTGAACACCCTCTCACTTTGCCTCTCCGCCTTCCTGTTTCTGTGCTTTTCATTTCCCCCCCTGTTCCCCTCCCTCTATCTACCCTGACACCCCAACCCACTGTTGATGTCTCTTGTCTTGCAGGCTGCACCCTTTGTCGTCCCCGTCATGCAAGGAAATATCCTCTCAACGCCCCTCCTCCGCCCTTGCTTTAAAACCCACCCCAACCCGACCACCCTGGCTTCGGTCTTCTTTTCCTTCCACCATTGCACCTTTCAATCATCCATTTCTGTAATTGCCATCCATTGGACATTCAATCCCGCTTCTTGTCCCCCTGTCTGACTGCTTGTCTTCGTCTACTGCCGTCCTGCCCTTATCAATTTACCAGTGTCCCATCTTCTTGTCACTTTCTCTTGCGTTTATTGCAATATTCTCAGGCCAAAGTTTCCTTAACCAAGCGCCTTCCCTCCTCTTTTTCCTGCCTGTGTTCCTGGTTGTTCCATTCCATTTCCTTGTTGTTCAACCTCTCTCTTCATCTCTCTCTTCATCTCTCTCTCCCTGTTCTTCTCTTGCCGGTTGGCCGATGACCACTGCCTTCCCCCTTCACTGGGGGCCCTCGTTTCGTACACCTTCTCCTGGAGTTGTTTCTCCCTCTCGCTCTCCTCCTTCCCTCTCTCCTCCCTCCCACCCTCCCTCTCTCCCCCTTTCCCTCACTCCGTTTTCCTTCCCTCTCATGGCCGTAATTTTGTGCGCCTATCGACCGAGCACGTTTCGCCAGCATCCAATCAGCAATCAACAAGTGTCCAGTCGAGGTCACCCTCATCGCTCGCCGTGGTGTCGACAGAATCGGTGAGCCCGGTGCATGCAGCACTAAATGCTGGAACTTAAAGACTCGTCCCATTCATGTGCTTTACAGTGCGTAGCCGTAATTGCGGGCCTCGGCACACGTGATACCCGCTGCAACAATAAGTGCACTGCACACATCATGAATCTGATGCTGCAGGCGCGCGCATGTGGTGCATTGGTGCTGACTCCAAAAGCGCTGTGCCAGACGCTGCTATCTTCACATCTCCTTCCACCTTTTTCTCCCGCATGACACTCTCTTCTCTTCCACCTTGCAGGCACGCGCATGTGGCAAAGGGGTGCGGATTTCAAGGGCTCTGCGGCCAACTGTGCTATCTACTCACTCATCTCCTGCCCTCCTTTTTCCTTGCTTCATATCCTTTTCTCTCCCCTGCCTGCAGGCACGCGCATGTGGCGCCGAGGTGCGGATAGCAAGGGTGCGGTGGCCAACTTTGTTGAGACGGAGCAAGTGGTGACGGTGGATGGCGGCGCTGTTGCATCCTACGTGCAGGTGAGCTGGTTGCGGTGGGCGCACGTTTTCAGTTGTGCAAGTGGTGACGGTGGACGCGGGTGCTGTTGCATCCTACGTGCAGGTGAGTGGGTTGTGCTGGGCGTGCAGTGCATATGAATGGCATGCAGAGGGCGCACACGATTTCCGTTAGATGATTGTGGTGCAGTTGGAACAGAGCAAGTGGTGACGGTGGACGGGGGTGCTGTTGCGTCATATGTGCAGGTGAACAGGGTGCATTGGGCGTGCAGGTGAGCTGAGCAGGGCAGGGCGCACATTTGCCTGCGGTAGACATGATGCTTCCTTACAATAAAGACAGCGCGCTGTGCTGCATCACGGACGGATCAGGGGCTCCATCCCTGTGCTGTGGGAGCAGACCGTTGACCCTGATCAGGGATGCACATGCTCACTCACATTGCTCTCAGGCGCTGCCTGTTTGCTACCCTGCCCTCTCCTCTACTCCCTCCCCTCTGCCCCCCCCTCTTCTCGCCCGCTCTGTCCTCGCTCCCCCGTCTCTCAGGTCAGGGGCTCCATCCCTGTACTGTGAGAGCAGATCGTCAACTCCACACACACCTTGCGTTGAAGCACCTCACTTCGAATGCTTCTTGCTTGCTATCCTGCACTCTCCTCTCTACCCCCGCTCCCCTTTCCAGATCAGGGGCTCCATCCCGGTGCTGTGGGAGCAGATCGTCAACCTCACGTACAAGCCCAAGCTCCAGACGGTCGTCACAGCCGAGGTGAGAGATGCTTCCTATGAGTGAGGGCAAAGAGCTCGTGTACAGATAAGCCTTTCCACAGGGGCTAGATCGTCAACCTCACGTACAAGCCCAAGCTCCAGACCGTCGTCACAGCCGCCGTAAGATATGCTTCAGAGATTTGTGAGCATAGAGTTCATGTGGAGATAATGCCTTTCCTTAATGTCCTTTCCCGGTCTTAGATCGTGAACCTCACGTACAAGCCCAAGCTCCAGACTGTCGTCACAGCCGCGGTGAGAGATGCTTCCTATGAGTGAGGGCAAAGAGCTCGTGTACAGATAAGCCTTTCCACAGGGGCTAGATCGGCAACCTCACGTACAAGCCCAAGCTCCAGACTGTCGTCACAGCCGCGGTGAGAGATGCTGTCGACTCTTGGGAGCATAGGCGATATGCACAGAGCAGATAATCGTTTTTAAACTGTCTCAAACCGTTAACCTTGCGTACAAGACCAAGCTCCAGACCGTCGTCACAGCCGCGGCGAGATATGCCCCAGAGTTCCAAGAGAGCACAGAGCCCTTGTGCTGTGCAGGGCTCTTTAGGATTCGCACAAGGCGATCTCCAACTAAAACGTTGCCACAGCTTCTTTAGATTGTGATATATATATTCCGCTCCGCCCCAGATATGCATTATGTTTCCATGGGATGGGTGATAAAGCACTGCATGGATCTTTTCCCGAGTACCTTCCTTCCACCTTTGCCTTATCTTCCACCAACACCCCCCTGCACTGCACTGCACCTTCTCTCACACTCTTCTACCCACTTGTAACATGCTACCGCTTCTCCGCATGCCCCACCGGCCTCGCCCTCCCCCTTTCCAGTCGATCCTGGGTCCAATGCCCAACGACCAACGCCACCCACCCTTTCCCCACACTAACATCCCTCCCCTCTTTTGAGTCGACTCAAAAGTCTCCTCATGCCCCACCCGCCTCGCCCTCCCCCTTTCCGGTCAATCCTGGGTCCAACGACCAACGCCACCCACCCTCTCCTCCCACTAACATCCCTTCCCTCTTCCCCCCTCAACCTCCCAGCAACCCTTTGAGGCGCCCCTGAGGCATCAGGGTCTAAAGAGACCTCCCGGGGCTGTCGGTTTTTGGTGTACTCAATACTCCTTTCCTACCCTACCCCACGCGCCCTCCTCTCTCCCCCCCCCCCCCCCCCCCCCCCCCCTTCTCTTTCTTCTCAACCCTCAGCAACCCTTTGAGGCGCCCTTGAGGCAGCATCTTAGAGGGCTTAAGGAGATCTACGGCCCTGTCATTGCCGTTGACCTAGTCAACCAGGTAATGGGGAAAGAAAGAAGTGATGCGTTGACCTGGTCAACCAGGTAATGGGGAAGCTGGGTGGGCATGTATCTGTTGGCCCAGTCAACAATGCAAATGAGGGGAAAAAGGGCGGTCTTTCATTGTTAGCTTGTTGTAGCATGTGAGATGGCTGCAAATGAATCCGGTGCCCATGCAACGAGCCATGCAGTGGAAGGCAGCACCTGGTCACGTGCTTGCACTCACTGTGTGATGTGTCTATTATTTAGTCGACTAGAAAATGTACCATGTGAGATGGCTGCGATTTAGTCTGGTGCCCATGCAACCAACCACGCAGTGGGAGCCAGCACCTGGTCGCGTGCTTGCACTTACTTCACTTTGTCTCGTTTCCATTCTGGTCACACTCTGCAACCCAGTTCTGAGACGTCTCAAAACTAGCGTGCTTGTACTCGCTTTGTCTCGTTTCGTTTCCATTCTGGTCATACTCTGCAACCCAGTTCTGAGACGTCTCAAAACTAGCGTGCTTGTACTCGCTTTGTCTCGTTTCGTTTCCATTCTGGTCACACTCTGCAACCCAGTTCTGAGACGTCTCAAAACTAGCGTGCTTGTACTCGCTTTGTCTTGTTTCGTTTCCATTCTGGTCACACTCTGCAACCCTGTTCTGAGACGTCTCAAAATTAGCGCGCTTGTACTCGCTTTGTCTCGTCTCGTTTCCATTCTGGTCACACTCTGCAACCCTGTTCTGAGACGTCTCAAAACTAGCGTGCTTGTACTCGCTTTGTCTCGTTTCGTTTCCATTCTGGTCATACTCTGCAACCCTGTTCTGAGACGTCTCAAAACTAGCGTGCTTGTACTCGCTTTGCCTCGTTTCGTTTCCATTCTGGTCACACTCTGCAACCCAGTTCTGAGACGTCTCAAAACTAGCGTGCTTGTACTCGCTTTGTCTCGTTTCGTTTCCATTCTGGTCACACTCTGCAGCCCAGTTCTGAGACGTCTCAAAACTAGCGTGCTTGTACTCGCTTTGTCTTGTTTCGTTTCCATTCTGGTCACACTCTGCAACCCAGTTCTGAGACGTCTCAAAACTAGCGCGCTCGTTTCGTTTCCATTCTGGTCACACTCTGCAACCCAGTTCTGAGACGTCTCAAAACTAGCGTGTTTGTACTCGCTTTGTCTCGTTTCGTTTCCATTCTGGTCATACTCTGCAACCCAGTTCTGAGACGTCTCAAAACTAGCGTGCTTGTACTCGCTTTGTCTCGTTTCGTTTCCATTCTGGTCACACTCTGCAACCCAGTTCTGAGACGTCTCAAAACTAGCGTGCTTGTACTCGCTTTGTCTCGTTTCGTTTCCATTCTGGTCATACTCTGCAACCCAGTTCTGAGACGTCTCAAAACTAGCGTGCTTGTACTCGCTTTGTCTCGTTTCGTTTCCATTCTGGTCATACTCTGCAACCCAGTTCTGAGACGTCTCAAAACTAGCGTGCTTGTACTCGCTTTGTCTCGTTTCGTTTCCATTCTCGTCACACTCTGCAACCCAGTTCTGAGACGTCTCAAAACTAGCGTGTTTGTACTCGCTTTGTCCCGTTTCGTTTCCATTCTGGTCATACTCTGCAACCCAGTTCTGAGACGTCTCAAAACTAGCGTGCTTGTACTTGCTTTGTCTCGTTTCGTTTCCATTCTGGTCATACTCTGCAACCCAGTTCTGAGACGTCTCAAAACTAGCGTGCTTGTACTCGCTTTATCTCGTTTCGTTTCCATTCTGGTCATACTCTGCAACCCAGTTCTGAGACGTCTCAAAACTAGCGTGCTTGTACTTGCTTTGTCTCGTTTCGTTTCCATTCTGGTCATACTCTGCAACCCAGTTCTGAGACGTCTCAAAACTAGCGTGCTTGTACTCGCTTTATCTCGTTTCGTTTCCATTCTGGTCATACTCTGCAACCCAGTTCTGAGACGTCTCAAAACTAGCGTGCTTGTACTCGCTTTGTCTCGTTTCGTTTCCATTCTGGTCACACTCTGCAACCCAGTTCTGAGACGTCTCAAAACTAGCGTGCTTGTACTCGCTTTGTCTCGTTTCGTTTCCATTCTGGTCACACTCTGCAACCCAGTTCTGAGACGTCTCAAAACTAGCGTGTTTGTACTCGCTTTGTCTCGTTTCATTTCCATTCTGGTCACACTCTGCAACCCAGTTCTGAGACGTCTCAAAACTAGCGTGCTTGTACTCGCTTTGTCTTGTTTCGTTTCCATTCTGGTCACACTCTGCAACCCAGTTCTGAGACGTCTCAAAACTAGCGCGCTCGTTTCGTTTCCATTCTGGTCACACTCTGCAACCCAGTTCTGAGACGTCTCAAAATTAGCGCGCTTGTACTCGCTTTGTCTCGTCTCGTTTCCATTCTGGTCACACTCTGCAACCCTGTTCTGAGACGTCTCAAAACTAGCGTGCTTGTACTCGCTTTGTCTCGTTTCGTTTCCATTCTGGTCATACTCTGCAACCCTGTTCTGAGACGTCTCAAAACTAGCGTGCTTGTACTCGCTTTGCCTCGTTTCGTTTCCATTCTGGTCACACTCTGCAACCCAGTTCTGAGACGTCTCAAAACTAGCGTGCTTGTACTCGCTTTGTCTCGTTTCGTTTCCATTCTGGTCACACTCTGCAGCCCAGTTCTGAGACGTCTCAAAACTAGCGTGCTTGTACTCGCTTTGTCTTGTTTCGTTTCCATTCTGGTCACACTCTGCAACCCAGTTCTGAGACGTCTCAAAACTAGCGCGCTCGTTTCGTTTCCATTCTGGTCACACTCTGCAACCCAGTTCTGAGACGTCTCAAAACTAGCGTGTTTGTACTCGCTTTGTCTCGTTTCGTTTCCATTCTGGTCATACTCTGCAACCCAGTTCTGAGACGTCTCAAAACTAGCGTGCTTGTACTCGCTTTGTCTCGTTTCGTTTCCATTCTGGTCACACTCTGCAACCCAGTTCTGAGACGTCTCAAAACTAGCGTGCTTGTACTCGCTTTGTCTCGTTTCGTTTCCATTCTGGTCATACTCTGCAACCCAGTTCTGAGACGTCTCAAAACTAGCGTGCTTGTACTCGCTTTGTCTCGTTTCGTTTCCATTCTGGTCATACTCTGCAACCCAGTTCTGAGACGTCTCAAAACTAGCGTGCTTGTACTCGCTTTGTCTCGTTTCGTTTCCATTCTCGTCACACTCTGCAACCCAGTTCTGAGACGTCTCAAAACTAGCGTGTTTGTACTCGCTTTGTCCCGTTTCGTTTCCATTCTGGTCATACTCTGCAACCCAGTTCTGAGACGTCTCAAAACTAGCGTGCTTGTACTTGCTTTGTCTCGTTTCGTTTCCATTCTGGTCATACTCTGCAACCCAGTTCTGAGACGTCTCAAAACTAGCGTGCTTGTACTCGCTTTATCTCGTTTCGTTTCCATTCTGGTCATACTCTGCAACCCAGTTCTGAGACGTCTCAAAACTAGCGTGCTTGTACTTGCTTTGTCTCGTTTCGTTTCCATTCTGGTCATACTCTGCAACCCAGTTCTGAGACGTCTCAAAACTAGCGTGCTTGTACTCGCTTTATCTCGTTTCGTTTCCATTCTGGTCATACTCTGCAACCCAGTTCTGAGACGTCTCAAAACTAGCGTGCTTGTACTCGCTTTGTCTCGTTTCGTTTCCATTCTGGTCACACTCTGCAACCCAGTTCTGAGACGTCTCAAAACTAGCGTGCTTGTACTCGCTTTGTCTCGTTTCGTTTCCATTCTGGTCACACTCTGCAACCCAGTTCTGAGACGTCTCAAAACTAGCGTGTTTGTACTCGCTTTGTCTCGTTTCATTTCCATTCTGGTCACACTCTGCAACCCAGTTCTGAGACGTCTCAAAACTAGCGTGCTTGTACTCGCTTTGTCTCGTTTCGTTCCCATTCTGGTCACACTCTGCAACCCAGTTCTGAGACGTCTCAAAACTAGCGTGTTTGTACTCGCTTTGTCTCGTTTCGTTTCCATTCTGGTCATACTCTGCAACCCAGTTCTGAGACGTCTCAAAACTAGCGTGCTTGTACTTGCTTTGTCTCGTTTCGTTTCCATTCTGGTCATACTCTGCAACCCAGTTCTGAGACGTCTCAAAACTAGCGTGCTTGTACTCGCTTTGTCTCGTTTCGTTTCCATTCTGGTCACACTCTGCAACCCAGTTCTGAGACGTATCAAAACTAGCGTGCTTGTACTCGCTTTGTCTCGTTTCGTTTCCATTCTGGTCACACTCTGCAACCCAGTTCTGAGACGTCTCAAAACTAGCGTGCTTGTACTCGCTTTGTCTCGTTTCGTTTCCATTCTGGTCACACTCTGCAACCCAGTTCTGAGACTTCTCAAAACTAGCGTGCTTGTACTCGCTTTGTCTCGTTTTGTTTCCATTCTGGTCATACTCTGCAACCCTGTTCTGAGACGTCTCAAAACTAGCGTGCTTGTACTCGCTTTGTCTCGTTTCGTTTCCATTCTGGTCATACTCTGCAACCCAGTTCTGAGACGTCTCAAAACTAGCGTGCTTGTACTCGCTTTGTCTCGTTTCGTTTCCATTCTGGTCATACTCTGCAACCCAGTTCTGAGACGTCTCAAAACTAGCGTGCTTGTACTCGCTTTGTCTCGTTTCGTTTCCATTCTCGTCATACTCTGCAACCCAGTTCTGAGACGTCTCAAAACTAGCGTGCTTGTACTCGCTTTGTCTCGTTTCGTTTCCATTCTGGTCACACTCTGCAACACAGTTCTGAGACGTCTCAAAACTAGCGTGTTTGTACTCGCTTTGTCTCGTTTCGTTTCCATTCTGGTCACACTCTGCAACCCAGTTCTGAGACGTCTCAAAACTAGTGTGTTTGTACTCGCTTTGTCTCGTTTCGTTTCCATTCTGGTCATACTCTGCAACCCAGTTCTGAGACGTCTCAAAACTAGCGTGCTTGTACTCGCTTTGTCTCGTTTCGTTTCCATTCTGGTCACACTCTGCAACCCAGTTCTGAGACGACTCAAAACTAGCGTGTTTGTACTCTCTTTGTCTCGTTTCGTTTCCATTCTGGTCATACTCTGCAACCCAGTTCTGAGACGTCTCAAAACTAGCGTGCTTGTACTCGCTTTGTCTCGTTTCGTTTCCATTCTGGTCATACTCTGCAACCCAGTTCTGAGACGTCTCAAAACTAGCGTGCTTGTACTCGCTTTATCTCGTTTCGTTTCCATTCTGGTCATACTCTGCAACCCAGTTCTGAGACGTCTCAAAACTAGCGTGCTTGTACTCGCTTTGTCTCGTTTCGTTTCCATTCTGGTCACACTCTGCAACCCAGTTCTGAGACGTCTCAAAACTAGCGTGCTTGTACTCGCTTTGTCTCGTTTCGTTTCCATTCTGGTCACACTCTGCAACCCAGTTCTGAGACTTCTCAAAACTAACGTGCTTGTACTCGCTTTGTCTCGTTTTGTTTCCATTCTGGTCATACTCTGCAACCCTGTTCTGAGACGTCTCAAAACTAGCGTGCTTGTACTCGCTTTGTCTCTTTTCGTTTCCATTCTGGTCACACTCTGCAACCCAGTTCTGAGACGTCTCAAAACTAGCGTGCTTGTACTCGCTTTGTCTCGTTTCGTTTCCATTCTGGTCATACTCTGCAACCCAGTTCTGAGACGTCTCAAAACTAGCGTGCTTGTACTCGCTTTGTCTCGTTTCGTTTCCATTCTGGTCATACTCTGCAACCCAGTTCTGAGACGTCTCAAAACTAGCGTGCTTGTACTCGCTTTGTCTCGTTTCGTTTCCATTCTCGTCACACTCTGCAACCCAGTTCTGAGACGTCTCAAAACTAGCGTGTTTGTACTCGCTTTGTCTCGTTTCGTTTCCATTCTGGTCATACTCTGCAACCCAGTTCTGAGACGTCTCAAAACTAGCGTGCTTGTACTTGCTTTGTCTCGTTTCGTTTCCATTCTGGTCATACTCTGCAACCCAGTTCTGAGACGTCTCAAAACTAGCGTGCTTGTACTCGCTTTATCTCGTTTCGTTTCCATTCTGGTCATACTCTGCAACCCAGTTCTGAGACGTCTCAAAACTAGCGTGCTTGTACTCGCTTTGTCTCGTTTCGTTTCCATTCTGGTCACACTCTGCAACCCAGTTCTGAGACGTCTCAAAACTAGCGTGCTTGTACTCGCTTTGTCTCGTTTCTTTTCCATTCTGGTCACACTCTGCAACCCAGTTCTGAGACGTCTCAGAACTAGCGTGTTTGTACTCGCTTTGTCTCGTTTCGTTTCCATTCTGGTCATACTCTGCAACCCAGTTCTGAGACGTCTCAAAACTAGCGTGCTTGTACTTGCTTTGTCTCGTTTCGTTTCCATTCTGGTCATACTCTGCAACCCAGTTCTGAGACGTCTCAAAACTAGCGTGCTTGCACTCGCTTTGTCTCGTTTCGTTTCCATTCTGGTCATACTCTGCAACCCAGTTCTGAGACGTATCAAAACTAGCGTGCTTGTACTCGCTTTGTCTCGTTTCGTTTCCATTCTGGTCATACTCTGCAACCCAGTTCTGAGACTTCTCAAAACTAGCGTGCTTGTACTTGCTTTGGCTCGTGTCGTTTCCATTCTGGTCACACTCTGCAACCCTGTGACTGTTGCTGGCGTTGAGTTTTGAGTTGAGACGTCTCAAAACTAGGTGCCCGTGCAACCAATCATGCAGTGGGAGGGAGCCAGCTCCTGGCCTGGCCGCGTGCTTGTACTCACTATGCCTCGTGCTCGGTCGCATGCTGGTTGCGAGTTTCCATTCTGATCGTACTCTGCTGTCGTTGGCGTTGTGCATGCATGGAATGCAATGTGTTATGGTTCTGATGTGCGACGCTATGGCTTGCATTGATATGGCATGTCATGTCATGGCATGGCATGGATGCCTCTGCACTGCATGCATACAGGATGGTGGGGAGAGCCGCATTGGTTCAGCATATGCTGGAGCTGTGAACGCCATCAAGGACTCTGACTTGCGGTACGAACGGCCCATTGATGTATAGCTTATCCATTGAAGTGCGATTGGCATGTATGGATACGCCTAGTGTGTAGCATATGCTGGAGCTATGAATTCTGACCTGCCGTAAGGCCTCGATCATGTCCATGTTCTCTGTCCTGAGTGTGGCCTGTGTTTGCAGCATGATTGCATGATTGCATTGCATGTATGACATAATCCTGTGTGCAGCAGCAGCAGCAGCATATGCTGGAGCTGTGAACGCCATCAAGTACTCTGACATGCAGTACGAACCACCCGTGCATGTACACATGTGCATACTCTGAGTGTATTTGGCATGCATGCATACACATACCGTTCAGCAGCATATGCTGGTGCCGTGAACGCGATCAAGGGCTCGGACATGCGGTATGGCCCATGCATGCATGTACCCCATGTGCATTTTCTGAGTGTCATGGGCATGTATGCATGCACCCAGTGTTCAGCAGCATGCATAAACCGAGCGCATAAAGTCCTCGTTTTATGCTGGGGCTGCAAAACCCATCATCTATGTGGCTGGCATTTGACCCCTCCAGCAGTGCGGCTACACCAGCAGCTCTCCGCCAGCAGTGTTATGTTCTCAGCATGACACTCATTACTCTCTCCCGCTCCTCCCCCTCTCCCTCCCTCGCCTCAGCTACATGCCACATGACTTCCACCACGAGTGCAGGGTCACCAAGTATCACCACCAGCAGCAGCTTGCGCCGGACCAAACACCACCTTTCTCCATCCCTCTTTTTTTGCCTGTTGCTCTTCTGGGAACTCCCCTCCCGCCCGCCCCCCTCCCTCACACCAGCTACGTTCCGTTTGACTTCCACCACGAGTGCGGTGCCAGCTAGTACCACCACCAACTGCTTGCCATTCACACAAAATCACCTCTTCCCGTCCCCTTTTCCTCTCCTCTGTCCCTCCCTCTCCCACCAGCTACGTGCCGTTTGACTTCCACCACGAGTGCGGCGCCACCAAGTACCACCAGCTCTCTGTCCTGGACGACCAGATCAGCAAGGACATGGAGACCCAGGGGTGAGTTCCCTCAGGCCTCTACTCTCTGCCTCTGCTACCATCACGTGATCATGTGTCAGTCATTTCAGCTGACTCCGGAATGATCTCTCTCAGCTGGACGACCAGATCGGCAAAGACATGGAGAACCAGGGGTGAGTTGCTTCAGGCCTCTTTTCCCTGGATCTACTACTAATGTCATGTGCCACTCCCCACTTCCCTCTGCTGCCATCACATCACGTGCCAGTCGTTTCAGCCCTTTCACAGGGAAGTCAAGCTCTTGACTCTTCGTAACTCTTTGCCATTCCCTCCTTCCCTTCCGCATCCCGTCCACTCTTTGCCCTGCCACCAGATTCTTCCTGCAATGAAGGCAAGGATGGGTCGGTACAGAAGCAATGCCAGCACGGCAGGGCTCAGAGCGCACTGACTTGCTTTGAGGCGCCTTGAGTTACGAATTATATACTATTCTCTGCCCATGTTGTCACCGCCCCTTTTTTCCCCTGCCACCAGATTCTTCCTGCAAGGCAAGGATGGGTCGGTACAGAAGCAGCGCCAGCGAGGCATTCTCAACAGCCTAGATTGATTTCTCCCCTCCTTTCCCATCCCATCCGCTCTTTGTCGTGCCACCAGATTCTTCTTGCAAGGCATGGATGGGACGGTGCAGAAGCAGCAGCACGGCACAGTGCGCACCAACTGCGTTGACTGCCTTGACCGCACCAATGTCACTCAGGTGGGTCCTCAGGTGCCTATCAGGTGATTCGTCAGGTGGCAGCAGCACGGCACAGCGCGCACTTCAACTCCCTGACTGCACTACTCAGGTGGGCTCTCAGGTGCCGAGCAGGTGGGCTCTCAGGTGGCGCCCAGGTGGGCTCTCAGGTGGCAAGCAGATCACTGGTGATTATCTGTACGCTTTGACCTCTCTGGTTCATCACCCGCCCGCATTTCAAGGTAAAGCCTTTCTAGTTACTTACCGCCAGAATACTAATCATCCAACCACCCCACGTCTCTCTCCCTCAGAGCTGGATCACGCGGCACGTGCTGGAGGACGAGCTGAGGCGGATGGGGTTGCAGGGGCTGCATGAATCCCCCCCTCCCCCCACCCATTGTCTCTCCCCTCCCCGAATCACCTGCTTTCTCCTTCCTTCTTCTCCACAGAGCTGGTTCGTGCGGCACGTGCTGGAGGACGAGTTGAGGCACATGGGGCTACAGGGTGACCCAGTAATCCCCTCCCTCCCAACCCCCCTCCCCGTCCTGCTCCCCGTCCCCTTCCCCTTACTTTTGCAGAGCTGGATCACGCGGCATGGCTGGAGGACGAGCTGAGGCACATGGGGCTGCAGGGATGGGACTGAACAGACCCTCCTTCACCTCCCCTCCACTTCGCCCTCCCTTCCCCACTCCGCCCTCCCTCCCCACTTCGCCCTCTCTTCCCCACTTCGCCCTCCTCTGATTTGTCCTTCTCAGAGCTGGTTCGCGCAGCACGTGCTGGAGGACGAGCTGAGGCAGATGGAGCTGCAGGGTGACCCAGTAACCCCCTCCCCCTCCCTCTCCCGCTCCCCCTCCCCCTCCCCCCTCCCCCTCCCCCTCCCCCTCCCCCTCCCCTTTCTTGTGCAGAGCTGGTTCGCGCGGCACGTATTGGAGGATGAGCTGAGGCAGATGGAGCTGCTGGGCCTGCTGGGAGAGTCGGTAACATCCCCCCCTCCCCTCTATCCCCCCTCCACTCCACCTCCCCCCCTCTTTTCAGAGCTGGTTTGCGCGGCACGTATTGGAGGATGAGCTGAGGCAGATGGGCCTGCTGGGGAAGGATGAGCGCGTGGCAGAACACAGCGACTTTGATGCCAAGTACAAGATCAGTGAGTTGAAGGAGAGGTTGGAGTGCGGTGGGGGGAGTTAACAGCCAGGAGAGGGGGCATCTACGTGAATGGACGTGCATGCTGACGTGCTGCTGGGAAAGAAGGAGTGCGTGGCAGAACATAGCGACTTTGATGCCAAGTACACGATCAGTGAGTGGTGGGAGATGGTTGGAGTGCGGGGGGGGCTGAGCATGTCAGGAAAGGGGACGTGCATGCTGAGCGTCAGCTGAGGCAGATGGGGCTGCTGGGGAAGAACGAACGCGTGGAAGAACACAGCAACCTCGACGCCAAGTACAAGATCAGTGAGTGGTTGAATCGGTGTGGGGAGAAATGGAGTGAGGAAAAGGAAGAGGCGGTAAGAACACGGGCACTCCAGCACTCCAGACAGACCACTTCTGTACCTTCCTTCCCCATTGCATCACCACCTCGCGCTCTGCCGCCGCTAATGCGTCTCTCTCCCTCCATTCCCGTCTCCCGATGTGCTTCCTGTCAGTGTGGGCGGACCATGGCGAAGACATCAGCACTCAGTACTTGGGCATATCAGCATGCAAGGCAGACCTCCGTTGCACATTCCTATATATCATCGTCTCATCCTTGCCTCCTCTACTTCCTCTCTTCCCCTCACCTATGTTCCTGTCCTATTCCCCGTTTGGTTTTCCAGTGTTGGCGGATCATGGGGACGACATCAGCACTCAGTACACAGGCACGCCAGCGCTCAAGGGAGACTATGTAGATTGCAGCACACCGTACCGTACCAGTCCAAACTCTCCCTCTCCTTTCCCCTTCCCTCGCCTCCTCGTTCCCTGCTGCTTCTCCCAGTGTGGGCGGATCATGGCGATGACATCAGCACACAGTACACAGGCACGCCAGCGCTCAAGGGAGACTATGTGCGGTACGCGCCACCCACCTGTTACTAGGCGCCACAGAACACGCCTCAAAATATGTTCACCGTCTATGAGGCAAATCAAAAGACGCGTCTCAAAAGACTGCGTGCACACTCTGAGCCTCACATGCACACTCTGAGACTCGCGTGCACACTCTGAGCCTCACGTGCACACTCTGAGCCTCGCATTCACACTCTTCCTCACATTCACCCTCTCTGAGCCAAAGGTTTAGCTTGTCCCATTACCCTAAACAGCTCGATCTGTTCCTGTTACTGGGCTCAACTTCCCCCCCACACCACACCCCACAGGTACGGCAAGCGCAGCCCGGAAGGTTTTCTTCAGGATGGGGTGAGCGCTGTGATGCGCTACTTCTTCAACAACTACACTGATGGCGTGAGACAGGTGAGTGAGGAAAAACGAGTGAGGGTGATACAAGGTGAGGGTTGCAGGTTTCTGCGATGCACGATGGGGTCAGTGCTGTGATGCGATATTTCTTCAACAACTACACTGATGGCGTGCGACAGGTGAGAAGAGAAGTACTTGCAGGGGTTATGCACCAACGAGGGGTTATGCACCAACGAGGGGTGCTGCTGGTGGCTGTGATCCATGACTTAGTGGGAATATAAGCTTATTGCGTATATAAGCTGATCTTATATACGCACTCGTATATACGCTAAACGCTTTCGGGCCGGGTTTGGGAATACGCTTTTCCGGGCAGAAAAAAAACTTCCCGGGCAGGGTCAAAAAAACCCTGGGAAGGGGGGGGGGGGGGGGGGGGGGGGTGGGTATGGGGGGCAGGGGTTTGGGGTCTGAAATTTCAGAGTACATTTTTTTCCCACTAAGTCACATACACCAAGGCCTGCACATAACTTTCCCCTACTCTCTAACTCTCTTACCACTACCATCACTACAATGGTACACTACACCATCACGACCATCACTTATATCCTGGACTCTCTAGGTACTACTCCTTAGGCCTGGCCGCCCACTGCAATGCAAGCCACATATGCCCCCTCTACTTAGCGTACTCGTCTTCGAGGATGTCGTCGTCGCTTTCCTCCTCATCCTCTCCCTTCGCCTCGTCTTCCAGCCCATTGTATCCCGCCGGGATTGGAGGCTCCGCTCCTATCCCGGCCACCACATGTGGCAGGACATCGGCGCGCGTGTGCCAGTTGCGCACAACATTCCAGTTGTGCGTAACATAGACCAAGTCCCTGCACTTGGCGGATCCGAGCCTGTTCCGACGTGCGGTGTGGACGACATCCCAAGATGACCATCCACGCTCACAAGGTGAGGCGGACACGGGCTGAGACAGCACCCGTACCGCGAGCCCCGCCACACGTGGAGCATCGGTCCCATTCCACTGCCACCACTTCACCATGCTATACTTCCCCTCTTTCACCAGCTTCCTCTGTGCCACGGCTTCCGGCATCCCAAAAGAACCCTTCATGTCAAGAAACGCCCTCAGCCCGTCCCCCAGCTCAAGCAAGATGCTGCAAGCGTCATCCCCCCCATCCCCGCGGCTCGCAAGGAACTCGGCGTACTGGCTGATGAACACCTTGAAGACCTTCGTGCACTCGAGATCAGTGCCGAAGATATCTTCCTCCTGATTGGCGGGGTTGAGGATGCGGCCAGCGACATGCATGGCGCATGCGAGGCTGCCGTCCCAGCGGTCTCTGAGGATCTTGCGGATCTGGTCCTTATCCGCGTTGCTCAGCTGCTCCTCGTCCGCATCGAGTAAGTCCCCCACGTCCTCAGTCAACTGAAGCATAACATCGTATATCCTCCCCATCATCCCCACGGCATGCCCGTCCGTCTGCCTCATCGCCTTATAGGGCAGCTTCAGGAGGGCAGTGAAGAAGTCGGCCGTCTTCCACCAGGCGGCATCATGGATCAGCGCAGCAAACGCGTCGCATGATTTCTTCCGGTCCCCTACCGCCCACTCCTTCCACCCCTCGCTCGTCACCATGTTGGTGAGGCTGCCGCGCATCGCACACAGCCGGGAGATGGAGATGTAGTTCGTCCCGAACCTCGTTCCAGCCGGCTTCAGCGCTTCCAGAACCTTCCCCTCCACCAATTCCGGCGTGCGCAGGTACCCGCGGGTCCAATGGTGGTTGCGGACGAAGCTGCTAATCTCCCCTCCCTTGTCGACCACCGGCTTAGCCCACCCCATCTTCCCCACGTCTTCCAGGAGAAGATCCATCACATGGGTGGCGCACGGCACGTCTTGAATGTGCGGCCACTCCTGAATCAGTCGCTTCACCGCCACCGCGTAGTTCGATCCCCCATCCATGCAGAACGCCACAACGTTCTCTGGCCCCACTTCCTCCACCACGGGCCTGAGAATCCCCGCCACGTAACCACCCGTTTTCTTCTCCATGTTGCAGTCAACACAGTCGTAGAAGACGGCGCCCGAATCATTGACGAGAAGAATGTTGGCCTGCGGCCTGCCCCTGCGGTCCGTCATCATGTCGGACGACACCGTCACGCCCGTCCGCTTCCAGCTCGTTTTGACGCCCACCAAACCCGCCTCGATGCCGTTGCGACACGCTACAAGGCCAGCACCGCCGACGTATTTCCGCTTGGGGGGGACGTAGTCTTTCCCGGCGCGGGAGACGTTGTTCAATGCGTTGACCATCAGAGGATGGTCAATGTGGCGCTCGGGGATGTGGAGGGCGGCCCAAGCAAGCGCAAGTGACTCGTCCGCTTCTCGCTTTCGTGCAGCCGTATCCCCCTCGAGGTAATCGGTGATTCGCGCGCGCTTCCCACCGTCAGCCGTCACCGCGGCAACCGCGGCAGCAGCGGCCCGCCTCCTTTCGTCGGCCGCAGCAGTCTTTGCCTCGTAATGCGCTTTCATGGCCCGACGCACATCTTGCGGCGCATCCTTGCACAGCACCACTTCACGGCGTTTCATGCCCTTCCACGACGCGAAGTGTTGCGCGCATCGGATGGCAGCACCGGTGTAGAGGTTGCTGCAGAACTTGCACTCGTACTGCTGGGCTTTACCCTCGACCCGCTTGACGATGCGGAAATGCTTGAAGACGACATGGTCGACGTCGGGGAGATACTCCCGTGCCTCGGTTAGAAGAGTCTGCGAGCTGCCAACGGTGTTAACTGACGGTGCCGTGGGAGGAGAAGTGGTAGTAGTCGACATAGGCACCAGGCGCTAGGGAATGCCCAGTGCTCTGCTGGTAGCGGGAGAAGACCTAATGAGTTGGATGTTGGGGGTGTGCGTGTTTAATAGCGAGTAGATTGGGGGAGTTGGAAGATGGGCAACTGAAGTTGGAATCGCAATTGGTTGTGAAGGTTTTGAATGCGGTACTGACTGTGACCACCAAAATGTGAGGGAACGTGCAAGCGCGACTCGACGTACGTGACTTTCCATTCGCGGCTCAAACTTTCAACCCACGTCCACGCTAGCACACAGCGCGGACGTGACATTTGACCCCGCCAATGTGTTCGTCGTGCAATTCCGAAGCGAACCGTATAGGTTGAATTTTTTTGGCCGGGCTGCCCCTAAAAAAATTTGGCTAGCGTATAGCGTATTCGCTAGCGTTTTGCGTATTGCGTATAAACGCTAGCGTGTATACGCTAAACGCAAACAGTTCTGAGCGTATTTTCCCACTAAGATCCATGATGGGGTGAGTGCTGTGATGCGATGCTTCTTCAATAATTACACTGATGGCGTGAGGCACGTGAGGACAGCTGAAACGAGCGAGGGTGATGCAAATGAGGGGTGCTGCTGGTGGTGGCCATGATGACGGATGGGGTGAGCGCTGTGATGCGCTACTTCTCCAACAACTATACTGATGGCGTGCGACAGGTGAGGATGAGTGAAACGAGTGAGGCTGATGCGAATGGGGGGAGGCTGCGTCACAGGATGGGGTGAGTGCTGTGAAGCACTACTTCTTCAACAACTACACTCATGGCGTGCGTGCGGCAGATGAGGGTGATAAAAAGATGAGAGAAGGTGATAAAAACGAAAGGGGTTGCTGGTGGTTAGATCTGGTCTGGTCCAGCAGGGCGCTGCATCTCCATTCCTATAGGGTTCCTATGCATCTTAAAACCCTGTCATTGCGAGTCTCCTGTGTCATCTTAAAACCCTGTCATAGGGTTCCTATGCATCTTAAATCCTGTAGGGTTCCTATCCATCTCCATTCATCGCGAGTCTCCTGTGTCCTCCTCACTGCTGCCCCCCACTACCCACAGGACGGGCTGGATCTGGTAATGGGTAACTACACAGTCAAGCAGGGCGCTCCATGCCCATTCACAGCAAGTCTCCTGTCCGTCCGTCCGTGTACCCCTCATTGTAACCCCCCCCCACTACGCACAGGACGGCCTGGATCTGGTAATGGGTAACTACACAGTCAAGCAGGGTGCTCCATCTCCGTTCACACGCACGGGCATCGAGAGATACACAGTACGTGCGCATACCTTCATGTCAGTGTTTACAGAGAACGCTTGGAATTTCTATACAGGTATCCACACAGGTGCTTCGTATCCATACCTTCATAGCAGGTGCCTTTTTTTATATACACACAGTCCATCCATTGTAGCCACCTGCTCGCCTGATCGCCCTTCCATGCAACCATTCACATGCGCCCTTCCATGCAACCGTTCACATGCGCCCTTCCATGCAACCGTTCACATGTGCCCTTCCATGCAACCGTTCACATGCGCCCTTCCATGCAACCGTTCACATGTGCCCTTCCATGCAACCGTTCACATGCGCCCTTCCATGCAACCGTTCACATGCGCCCTTCCATGCAACCGTTCACATGTGCCCTTCCATGCAACCGTTCACATGCGCCCTTCCATGCAACCGTTCACATGCGCCCTTCCATGCAACCGTTCACATGCGCCCTTCCATGCAACCGTTCACATGCGCCCTTCCATGCAACCATTCACATGCGCCCTTCCATGCACCCGTTCACATGCTCCCTTCCATGCAACCGTTCACATGCGCCCTTCCATGCACCCGTTCACATGCTCCCTTCCATGCAACCGTTCACATGCGCCCTTCCATGCAACCGTTCACATGCGCCCTTCCATGCAACCATTCACATGCGCCCTTCCATGCACCCGTTCACATGCTCCCTTCCATGCAACCGTTCACATGCGCCCTTCCATGCAACCGTTCACATGCGCCCTTCCCTTTGGCTCTGCCTGTTTCCACCTGTGCACAGAACCTGAGGGTGTGGCGCTCGTGTTGCTCATTGCTCTCGAGGTGTTCGTGGCCTCCCCCACCTGCCCTTCCACTTGGCTCATTTCTCCCCATATGATCACCTGCGCGCCTGTCCCTTGCAATTGTGTCTCTTCTCACCTGTGCACAGAACCTGAGGGTGGCGCTCGTGCTGCTTGTGGCCTCCACGTACCTCTTCCTGCGAAACGTCATCCCTTGTGAGTCACCTTACACAGATTGCTTGCGCTACTGTTTCTTGAGCTTTTTTTTTCCCCCGAGTAACTCTTTCCTGCATAGGCGTTCTCCCAACAAGATAATCATTAAAAATCTGATTCTTCTGTAATGTTGCGTTCTAAGTAGCGCCAGGGTTCATGCTGTAGCGCCAGGGTTCATGCTGTTCAGTGCTTTGTTTTCCACCCTCTCTCGTCCGGATCAACAAACAGCCAGCCCCCTCCCACCCCCCCTTCCCCCCAACGCCTAACCGGTTATAGAAGCTACTGTGGCTGCTCTCTCTCTTGTGACTATGCTTCAAATTCCCAAAATGCTCCAAACATTCAACATCTCCATCCCCCCCTCCTCCTTTCTTTGCAGCCTCCTCCCCCTCCCCTATATCGCCATCGCGGCCTCAGTTGTCATTCCCTCCCTTTCCCAACCCTCAACTACCCCCATTTTTCCTTTCCCCATTCCCCTCCTTCCGTTGCAGCTTCCCCCTCCTCCCTATCGCCAGTCATAGCAGCCACCTCAGATGTGGTCACTGGCTCAGTGGTCTTCGCCCTTCTCCCAATCCCCTCAAACAAACCCCTCCCTCTCCCTCCTGCCCCTCAATCCCCCATCTGCTCCCCATCTCCCTCCCCCCTCTCCTGCAGCTTCCTCCTCCTCCCCCCTATCGCCAGTCATTGCAGCCACCTCAGCTGTGGTCGCAGGCTCAGTGCTCTTCGCCTTGAAGAAATTCGGCCGCCTCTTCTGTGACCGTCCCCGCTTCTGCTCCCTGCGATGAACGGGAAGGGGTGCTTCTTCGTGGGTTTGGATAGCTTCCATTATCTCGATGGATTGTCAATAAAGTAGCGAATCTTTGGGCAGCATACCAATCATAATAAATACTATGCATACTACAACCTATTTCCAACAATGGTCCAGCATGCGTTTGAAAGTACGCCAATCGGCTGTTTTGACCTACCGTACCATAAGATGCCCGTCATGGGGTAGTAGTGAGAGCAACCTTGCTAAGAATATGAAGTCATCAGATTTCTACTGGTAGAATCAAGCTCCAGTACACTCCAGATGATGCCTGCCTCTGCAGAATGTTTTTGAGAAAGCAGGGTGTTTTTGAAAAAGCAGGGTGTTTTTGAAAAAGCAGGGTGTTTTTGAGAATTCTCAAAAACACCCTCCAGTCCAGCCCAGATGATGTCTGCCTCTGCCTGCCTGTGATGACATCCATCACCCCCCCCCCCCCCCCCCCCCCCCCCCCCCCTCTCTCTCCCTCCCTCCATCATCATCCACACATGCATGTGGGTGCGAGCGCGGTTGCGTGGATATATGCGTTGGGAAATCGCGCCTGCAGTTTTTGGCACTCTCGCACGCATAGCCTCTCGCACTAACTCATCACTCCCTCCCAAGCCCTTCGCTCTCCCTCTTTTTCCCTCTCATTGTTTCTCAGTACCAACTGTACCACGAGATGAAGACAAGATTCGCTGACAGAATGTGGATCGACGTGATGTCCAAGTGTGACTTGCCTGCTGCTGCTGGCCCACCGGGGAGCAAGGGTGCAGTGCAAGCAGGGCGCAGCAAGCCAAGAGGCATCAACACCAGTGCTCCAGACAGCAGCGTTTCGGACAGCAGCGCTTCGGACAGCAGCGCTTCGGACAGCAGCGCTTCGGACAGCAGCGCTTCGGACAGCAGCGCTTCGGGCAGCAGCGCTTCGGGCAGCAGCGCTTCGGACAGCAGCGCTTCGGACAGCAGCGCTTCGACAGCAGCGCTTCGACAGCAGCGCTCTTGCTGCAAGGCAGCTGGCTGAGGCAGAGCCACCTGGTAGCACATGGCAGGGTTTAGGGTGGAGACTGCAGGAGAAGCAGCAGCACGCATGGCAACAGGGGAAGGCACAGCCATGGCTCCCACGTGTTCTTACTAAGAGTACATGACAGGTTTATCCTTCCCATGCGCCCTTACTCACAGCTGTGCCCAGGTGGTGCATACTGTGGGCCCATGTTCATGCTTCATCCACTGCCCCTTCCCATGTGTTCCATCTCTGCATGTTTCTTTCCCCCGTGCCAATTGGTGCACGCCACACAGATAATACTGTGTGCGCACTCCCTTGCATTCGCCCACTCATCCCCGCCTGCACTGCTTGTCACATGACCGAGAATGCAAATTCTGCGTATATCTGGATAAATGGAATCTTTATTCGTCTATGCATTTCCAAAAGGCCAGTTCGTCTAACCAAGATCTATGGCCCAGAGAGTTCAGCAGGATTTGTGTTGGAAGGAAGTCGTGCATCGTGGTGATGACGGTGCCACACGCAACATGTTATTCCCTTGCAATGAGCCGCAATACAAACACAACAACATTTGAGACGACCCGCTGGATTACACAAACCTGGAGCAAAAGAGAAAAAAAAAAAGCAACAGAGAGCTTCCCTCAACAGAATGCGGAACTGGTAAAGCGCTCAGCCGCTTGGCTTTCTGTATCTGCTCATCCTTTCACGTCCATACATGGTTGCAAGAAATAATGACCACCCCAAGAAGAACACCGAACTTGGATTACTCTTCCGGCTGCGACGCGTCGACGCCATGGATGGTAAGAAACCTTCCCCTGAAAATCCCAGAATGCTTAATCTTAGCCTTGCCCTTTCCAATCCGCACTTTCTTCGCCTTAGTATTCGCGTCCACAACCTCATCCTTCCCCACGCTGCGACCATTCACGTCCGTCAGCTTCGTCGCCTTCGCGAGATCGTCCTCTTCGTACACGCCGTCGAGCATCTGCGCGCGAAAGAGCTTCGTGAAGGGGTCGACGTCGCCGCGCTTCATGCCGGTTTTCACCATCATGGCGAGCGCGTCCGGGGCAGAGGAAGCAATGGCGCTGTCCTCGGGCAGCATGAAAGTTTTTTTATCGACCTTGTTGAGGAAATCTTCGTTTGGGTTCCAGTCGGTCTCTGCATCATCGCGAAGAGGAAGAAAACAGAAGCATTGTCACTGACACATTGCTAACGGGCATATAACGAGATCTACAGGATGACGAAGCGGAAGCAACGTGCATAACTTGCGGGAAATGCAGCAGGGTTTACCCAATTGAGGGATGACGTGGTCAAGAAGAGTATGGGTGGCGTAATATCGGTTGTTCAGCTTGGAATCCGCAAGCGCGTCGCGTGTCTTCTTCAATTCGTCAATAAAGTCCTCCTTTGTAGGCCGCGCCGCAGCAGGCGCCAGCAGTGACGCGAGCGTGCAGAGGGCGAGAACGGAAAGCTGCCACGACGCCATGGCGCGGATTGACTGAATCCTCAAACTCCCGTGGTTAATCCTGTGGGTGCTGGTCTCATTCTTCAGGGTCTCAATCTTCAGGGTTTGCAGCGACGAGTGAGAAAATGGATGTGGGAAAGAGAGGCAGGGGGTGGAATATATCAGTGAGGGGAGTGTCTCACGCAAACCCATGATGACGAAATCGAGTTAGGGAGGGTCACAAGTTTAGACGAAAACGACTAGACACGAGCGGTGACAAGATTTCGCAGCAAATGAGAGCAAAAGCCTCGCTAACCGGAAGTTCGCCGCCGCGCAGAATGCATCCCGCCCGGTGCCTGCCCGTCTGGTGCGGCCAGGGAATATTTGCCCCCACCTGGCACCATGCGTTACTGCCGCACCCTCGTTCGCGAAAGCGGGCGAATTTTGCGCGCTTCGTGAAGTTGCGAATCAGGTGTTTCTTGTTGGGGGGACTTCACGTGTGCCATGCTTCGGTGTCTATGCCGACGCGAGCTGGCCAAGTGCTGGTCTGGCGCTCAAGAAGCTCCGCCCGCAGCCCAGGGCGCCTGAACCAGCGAGGAGAGAAATACTGTAGAGCCTGGATCAGTGATTCATTCTTATTCGCGTGATCTCGAATTACTCGAGTGGCCACCAAATTTGGTGATAATTACTCGAGTGGCCACGCCAGGGGATTCCCGCTGGTTTTTGTTTTACTCAGCGCATTACCCTACAAGGGCTAGTATCCCCGAAACCTTTGTACTGATTAATGCGCAAAGTTCAATATCTGAAATTTATGATCGTGACCCCATATGACCGTGCCTGATTGGACGCGCATTGCAAAACAAAGCCCCACGCATTTAATAGACCAATCACGCGCGGTCATCTAATGTCCCGCGCATTGACGCCCGGCCATTGAAGTTTATGATCGTGGAAATATATGATCGGGCATTAATATATGATGTGCCTGACCATTAATGACGCACATGATTGGTCGACTATATGCGCGTCCAATTAGGCGCGGTCATAAGCTCAATTGATTATAGATACCCATTAACAAGTAACTAAAAGCCCATACATTATAATAATAAAAGAAAAATATATTGCATATATAAGAAAAAATAGAATTGCAGTCTTTATAATGTTTATAAAAATGCTCTCAGCACAAGACATTTCCTCTTGTTTTCTGAGGAGTTACTTGAACTAAGGCCTTTATAAAAAGAAAGGTTACAGAAGCAAATGCCATTATGATCCTTTTCCCTACATTAGACCTATATTTTCAGATAACATAATTTATCATAAAGAAAATTGATAATTGCGCGATTTTCAATTTACGCGATGATTTATAATAGATGTTTTCGCATGATGATTTATATTCGAAATTTATGTTCGTGAAAAAAATGCCAGCGGGAATCCCCTAGCGTGGCCACTCGAGTAATTATCACCAAATTTGGTGGCCACTCGAGTAATTCAAGGCCACGCGAGTAAGGATGATGTCAAACATTATATATGTTATACTTGTGTAGGCTACAGTGGGTTAGCCTATAGGGGGTACACAATTCTAGGGTTTACTACTTGTACTCTTTTCACTTCTAGTTGATCCATTCCTGTTCGCTTATTCTCACATGGTATAGAGCGGGTCCTTCTACGGACCGTTTTTTTTGGGCCCACCGAAGCGCCCCCCGAGGCGCGATCTTTTTTTTAGCGACCCCTCGGGTCGCCATTTCCCCTGCGGCCCCGCCGCCTTCACTGACGCGGCCCCGCCGCCCTCT